GATCGTAAAAAAATTGCTCCTGTGTGTCAAAGAGTAAGCCAAGGTGGTGGAAGCGTTATGTTCTGGGGTTCAGTTTCCTATAATGGTGTGGGAGACTTGATCCTATCGACGGATCCATGAACCAAAACCGATATTTAGATACCTAGGTTTTTAAGCGATGTTGGGGTGGAAAACGTCGATTGGCCACCACAAGGTCCTGACTTAAACATTATTGAAAATGTATGGTCGCATATAAAGCGAAATAGAAGCACTAATCTGAATAGGACAAAAGCAGAAACCATTTCTGAAGTCACAATGAACTTGAAAGATATTCCTTTAAAATACTTTCAAACCTTGGTCGATTTCGTTCCCAATCGCCTCCAAAAGGTGATAGACACCAAAAGAGGGTACATTGTAACTAAATGAAATATGTACAATCCATAAATATTTTTGTCTTTAAAATAAATACAAATTGAAAAAAAACTGAGGCATCGCCATGACAAAATATATATGCCGACCAGTGTACACTTGCAGTTATTGCAAAACGACTAAATTTCGATTTCTATGTCTATATTACTAAAAACAATGAAGCTATGTTGATTTTGCGTTGCATTTTGGCATTGTTTTCATGGCAGCTATATGATATTGTTGTCCGATTTCGACAATACTATAATAATTATTTACTATTATTTTTATTGTTTTTAGTAATATAGTCATAGAAATCGAAATGTAGTCAATCTGTAATAACTGCACGGATATATAAACTTCGGCTTGCCGATGTTTTCTTTCTTTCTTGTTTTTCCCCCTCTTTACTTTTTTTAGACTAGGAAAAATATAAAAAACGTAAGCTTTTGAAGTGACTGTTGTCAGAGCAGAGTGTTTGTTGTTTCAAAAAATGAACGGAAAAGGGAAAACCCAAAAAAATAACACCGAAAAAAATCGCGCGCAAAATTTAAGTTCAGCTATGAACTTTATATAACCAAACTAGCTGTACCCGGCGCGACTTCGTTCGCTTAAAATTAGTTTTGAGTACGGTTGTCAAGACTTTCCCATTTCCACACCACCCCTGAGGTAGAGAAATTGGTGCTTTTTTTTTAATGTGGTAACTCTAATAGACCTATTCCACTGAAACTTTCTAGGTTTAATAATGTTAATTAATATGATTACTTTAAAACCTCTGTGTAAACAACATTTTTAGAAGATCCTTCAGGAGCGAGAATAATAAGGCTACTGGCAGAGCTAACTCTAGAGCATGTGACATAAAATTGTCCATGAGAGAAGCAATCTTCTCTAAGATCTAGTCCAGCCAGCTTCAAAGTCTGCCCCTGCGATTTATTTATAGTTATTGCAAAGCAAACTTTTAGAAGGAATTGTAGCCTTTTAAACTTAAACGGCAGACTGGATGGTATTAATGGGATCCTGGGTATAAACACTGTTTCCCCCTTCGCGCACCCCGTAAATACTGTTGCTTCGATTACATTCTTATGAAGACCTTTTATCTGCAATCGTGTCCCATTGCATAACTTTGGGGGACTTAAATTTCGCAATAACATTACGGGTGCTCCAATCCTAAGAGACAGATTATGCTGAGGAATTCCTGGAGGATTCAAAGAATTTAAAAATTCAATAGGGTAATGAACAGCATTATCAGCATCATGAACAGAGTCGACCGATTTATAGGAGACTTCTAAACATTCAAATGCCAACAATAAGTTTGTCAAGAAGGTTTTACCTGTCCCTCCAGGTGCATCCAAAAAAAATATTTCACCCATCTCAGCCCCAACGCTTTGTAAAACTGTATTGTATACGACTTTTTGCTCGTTCGCTTAATATTAGTTTAGAGTTAGGAAATTGGGTTGTCAGGACTTTCTTATTTCTTATTTGGGCGTTTTTTGAAAACCTTTGTGTAAACAACCTTTGTAGAAGATCCTTCAAGAGAGAGAATCAGAAGGATACTGGCAGAGCTATATAATAAATGAAAGTGATCCAAGTAAAAGTCGTGAGCTTGTATACTTTTTATCAGTTACAATGTTATCAATGCAATTTTAATTTGCGCACAAATATGTATACTTGTTTGTAAATTGGAATTTGTTGTTTTCAAATTTCTTGTTTTGAATGAAACGAAAACCTTTGTACACACAGTAAAAGATTGGCATCCAATACAAAAACAGCAAAGTAACGTATTATTTTCAGATTCCACATTTGATCGATAAACGGGTATAATAAATCATTTTATTTGTATTTAAGCACATTATCTACTTTCGAATAGAAACATACACACATTGTATGTATGTACATGTATTGTACATATAAGCAAATCAAAACATATCCAAATATACATATGTACATACGTATTTGGTCAAAAGTTCAAGTCAAAAGTTTAACTTGGAAACATTTTGGCTTTGCTTACAGAATTTGTAGTAATTTTCTATTTTCTTCCATGGTGGAAATTAAATAAGGCTCTTACTTCTGCTACAAAATGAAAAATAAAACCTAAGCATTTGATCCACAGGACTGACTATTGATCGAAAATCATATTGATCGGAGCAGCAGTTTAAGTTTTTAAATTCCTAAACAAATTTAACTTAAATTGCCTCTTTCCCCTCCCCTTTCCCTGCAGCACTACCTCTCCCCCTCATCAGTTTTCTTGGCTGTTGCTCTCTCGGCCGTCGCTCTCTTGGCTTCTGGGTTTCGTTCTCTCGACAGTCTCCCGCAAAATACAACGCAATGACTTAGAAAATCTAAATAAATTCGTTAAAAATACTTAAAAAAATGTTAAAAACTTGAAAAATTAAACTTAAGCATTTGGGCCATAGAATAACTATTGAGCGAAAAATCATCTTGATCGGAGCAGCGGTTTAGATTTTTTAAATCGAAAAGTTAATTTTAAATGTAGCCCCCAAATTATGGGGGATATCAAAATTTCTTTTAGATTTCTAATTAGGCCTTTTCAAAACCTAAAATTCGGAAAAAACCAAATATCGAAATTCCAACCAGTTTAGAAGTTAAGCTTAAATACATCAACTTTTTTTTGCTCAGAATAATGGATGTTGGAGCTGTTTGGGGCCACTGGGGGGACATATCGGATCTTAGTGGGCGCCCACGCCCCCAATGGAATACTGTGAATACTGCTCTTGCTCTTACGGTTTGGGCTGTGGCCGTATCCCCTTAAAAATCGGTCTTTCATTTTATAATCTTTAGGGATAACTAGGAGTAAATTAAAACAAAAACACTTTCTTGGAAATTTAAAGTTAATGGCAGCACTGTTTTTTGTGTTGGGTTTATCATTCCATTTTTTATCTAAGAAACACTCAATCGGACACTTTAAAAACAAAAATATATTTATCTTTTTGCTAGGAAATGACGAACGTTCATACAGATCGACGAAAAAAATACCAGAAAATTACATCGCGTTGCCAACTACCTGAAATAAACTTTTGGTGAACCCTAGCGAAAAGAATAAAAAATTGAATCTTTTGGCGTGCGCTTCTCACTGAACATTTTAATAAATGGGGGAAAAAGTTTTTTTGTGAGGGTGTTAATCTTTTGGGGTGCCCCTTGTCAGAACAAAGTGTTTCTTAGGTCAAAAATGTACGAAAAAACATAATAAAAAACTTAGAAAAATCGCTTGTTAGAACCAAGTCCAGATATGAATTTTAAATTATCAGTAAATTAAAAAAAAAAACAACTGTTAAATTTAAATTGTATTGTTTTTTAATTTCTTTGTACAGCGGCAGACTTGACTTCCCAAGGTAGTTGATAATATTTTTTAAAGGCTCTTTCCCGCAAATACGATTTTTGAATTTTAACTGCTTGTCAACAAAACCAGCTGATTGACAGTACGACCATAGCACGTTTAATACTGATGAACTCTCGAAAATGCAGTCACACTGGAAAGATTACACTGGAAAGATGATTTGTTTTTCGATCTGAGTGCTAGGCTTTAGTACTCACCCTAGTGGCTATAGCAACAAATGAAATGAATACATAATTATAGAATAATAATTTGAAGTGAAGAACACCACAACATATTTAATTATAATAGTTATATAACAATGTACTATGTAGGCTGTCTACCTCGGTTATATATTTATAATTTATTTTCATCAAGGTGTCGTGGGCGGGGCTTAACTTTAAACCAGCAACCATAAATGTTATGTATTTATTAGATATTACTGTTTAATTCTTGTTAATTCAACTCAGAAAATAAAAGCTATTTGTTGAGTTTTTATTAAAACCTTACAAATTATCGTTATTCTATGACTTTTACCACTGTGAACGACATTCCACGTAGTGACGACGTGCACCGGGCTAATGTGCTAGTCCGAGCGGAACGGCTTATATACCAATGGAAAGGTATTGCTTTTACTAAGATGTGTGTTTACCAATATTAGTAAGGTATTTGTTATATTTTTAAGTTAAAGTTTACCTTTAAAAAATTGAGCTATATATTTTTGGCATTATTCTTATTTTTTCAAAAACTTTCCTAATTACTTTAAAAATCTTTGATAAGGTTTTTTCATTCCTTATTTATTTGGTTTTACACTCCTAAAAATGTTTATAAGCTTAAAAAAACACCAATGTAAATAGGGTGTCCATTTTAATATTCCATCAGTGTTGTTATTTTGTCTCAGCTATATACAAAACTTTTTTTCCTTTTTAAATTTCAATATTGCAATACCATCTTAATGTTTCAATTTCAATAGCAACAGTCTGTTGTTGAAAGCTCACCGCTTAGCCAAGTTATCGCCAAGAACAAGTAAGTCTATCACATTTGGGACCATGCCTAGAAAAGCGATCCATAGATGGCGCTGACAACGGCGGACAGTCCAACTACCCTACTGCCGTACCGCCCACCCGAACTTGCCCAGCACTCGCACCAAAGCCATTTCCCAGGCGTCGCGTCGCACTTTCGCATTTCCGGCCGAAGCGTTCGGCTGTGGTGGGTTTCCGATTCGTCCGCTCCAACCGTGAGAAGTTGTGCGGCAGACGAGACGACGCTGCATCAGTCCGCGCTCAGACGTCATCATCATCAGTGGCAATACAGGCTAGCTCGGTCCGCGTCCGCTCTTGGTCTCGGTCTCGTGAGGTGCTCGATTGGATCCAACACACTCGCCCACACTCGTCCGGCGAAGGAAAAAGCCTAAAACGGTCGATTAACTAAAATGATCTGCTAGTGTTACTCCGAAAAACCCAACGAATCGAAGCTTTAGTGAAGGGCCCAATGGATTAGTCGAGCTGGCCAAGAGAACTCAAACCCTCCGGCTGATTCCTCACATGTTTTCCAAGGCAACGGTTTCTTCTGTATCTGTTTTCCGCTAAAATCCAACTACCGCCTGTGATTAACGCGCCCACAAATCCGTGAAAAGTGAATCTCGAGCAGCACCAGCAGGCATCAGTGAAAATGGTAAAAAGTGATTATGAAATGGGCCGCAAGGTGGAAGCCTAATCCGCTGAGCCTTGTTTATCCCCATCCCTTGGCTTAATGCAAATTGCAAGTCAATTGTCAGCACTCGTCCCTCGTTGTAGGAATAAGGCACAAAGCAGCGCCTTTGCTTTTTCATGCCCCATTGTTTTGCGCCGCTGAAGGAAAATACGAGCGTGTGTGATGTAAGCCGAGCCACCAGGCCTCTCCTTCTCCCGCCACTTTCTCCTCGTCTATTTAGTTAGCACAGCCATTTATTTTTATAAGATGACGCCGTCATCGTGGATTCTCACCACCCCCTTCTGGCCCATCTCCTCACTGTACGGGGCAACAACAGCATCAGCAGTAACAACAACAACGGTAACTAACGGCAAAAGTCAAGCGAAAAACACTACGCCATCCCTCTCTTACAACCTTACCCAACAGCACGAGAGAGCGAGAGGGACGGTGGTGGAGGCAAGGGTGGGGGCGTAACTGTAAATCGATATTTTGCGGCATGACCGAGTGGCCCAAAAGGGGGCACTGGGCTTACGGACTGGTGTGGTGGTTTCGTTAGTCACTCAGTCAGACAGACGCCGCCGAGGTCCCGCATCCCGCCCCACATCCACCACGATGATATCCCTGTATCCCAGGGCCGTTCGTATTTTGTGGTAAAAGCCCCACTTGCTCTTGTCGCTCCCTCGCTCTCTTTGCCTCTCTTCGGAGAGAGTGAGAGTGAGAGAGAGAGAGAGACCCCATCGCTCCGGCAATTGTTTCAAATTTGCGCTGTTATCACGCCAGCAGCAGCAACAACAACAATGACAGCAAGATTTTTGTCCATAACAAAGCATTGTTGCTTAAATTTATTCTAAGACATTAATGGCTGCTGTTGCTCCTGAATTTTCAGTTTGACTTGCCAATAAAGGAGGCGGGATTCTGTCCATGATGTCTCATGACAGTTATTTGAATAGGGACTGAAGATGGTCTGAAAAACGAATCCTTGTTACTTGCCAGTGCAACCTATTTGAAATAGAATACTGTACTTTTACTTGGGTGCTTTTACTTGCGGTCTATCTCACTATTGTTTACTCAACGCTTATCTGTTCCACAGATTGGGAGACAGTAGTTGTTTTCTTAAACGAATGTAGCACACTCCCGCAGAGCATCTATTAATACCAGAATACTACTTATTTTCTGACTTAAACCTGATTTAACTGATTTAGAAATATAGAAAGATTTTAAGTCATTAAAAATATTGTTTTTATACTATGGTTTTTATGTTTTGAGACAGTATTGTTAAAACTTTATGTTGGGGCAAAGCTATTGAAGATACGGCGTTCCGAGCTTTAAGTACATATATCTCCTTTACTGCGTTGCAAGCCTCTGACGAAAATGCAACATTTTGTCTAACAGTGCAGTGCATTCGACTAGAGCGTTTTTTCTTATTTTTGTGTTCAAGTATGCGTAGACTTCAACGTTCTTGATTTGATAAACAACCAGATTTCCAAAAATATTTAATTTCAACAAGATCGAGAAGTGAATGTTGGTCTACGCTATCGATGTGGAAATTCCGTCGATTCATTTTTAAGGCATTGTACCGAAACAAGTGCACAAGAACTTGTTCATAGAAAATACCTTTAGAACCCACGCATTATTCGTGCACTCATTAAAATAAAATTCTTAAGTTTAAAAATGCAGCCATTGATTTACTAGCCTTTGGAACAAGAAAAAAATATGTTGATACAAAAAAAACACTTTCTTGATTGGAATTAAAAAAAAAAACTAGATTGAAATTTCTATGCTCACCATCCACCGAATTTGGTTAAAATATATTTCTGTGTAACCCTCGATAGAAACATATTTTATTGCAATTATTTTCTTTTGATATTTTTACACTTGTATTGCCGAATGTTATGTGGTCCTTGGTCACATGCCGATTGAAATAAAAAAAATTATAAAACATAAGGAAGGAATATAAATATAAATATAAAACATAAGGAAGGAATATTTTTTTGTAATATTGGTTAACAGAGTAACGAAAGAGTTCCTTGTTGGATACATTTACTGCGTAAGTTATTGTGTTTAGGGAAACTACTAAATAGTTTAGGAGCTTAGCTATTTATCTACCTTTAGTCATTTGAATAAATGCATGTATGTACATATATGGCCACAACCAGGCTACTTTGTGTAAAAACGTATACATATTGCTTAGCTAGGTTGGCTAGCCTTTACTGAAGTTCAGCTGCAGTTCAAACTTGGTGTCAGGTTTCTTCTGACAAGCTGACAGACAAAGACGGTACGCGCCACAAAGCCAAACCACGTCGAGCCATCGAAAAAACCTAATACGCTTCAATTTCCTAAACAAGCTGCTTTTTACACTGATAGAAAATAAAATAAATATGTGTAGTTTTTTAATCCGCATTTGACTAATAAAGTTAAAGTTTTCATACTCTTTGTTAGTCATTCTTCTCGCTGATCAATGGGATCTGAATATTTTGTATTTGCTTATTATTGCAAATGTGATTTCGTTCATTTTCCGAAAAACTGTCCCTTATTGGAAAAAAATCCTGAAATGTGTACCGGGAACGTCTGCTTATATATATATGTATACACTGCCTGGTAAGACATCTTGCCACACCACTGGGCCAACGGCGTATCTGCAGACGACACCCTGCATTTCTGTGGATTCTCATTAAGTCAGATCCTGATAATATTATGACCAGCTGTAACAACACAACAAAAAATTGAAAAATAAAAGTATATTTACAAATTTCGTAATAAATGATTTATCATGATTTAAATCCATTTAATTTCAAATACGGAACGAAGTGCAAATAATGCTTACTTCCATTGGCAATATTTTACCTGTAAATCGGGTTGAATTACCTATAAAATGGTAATCATTACTTAAAATTTACTGATTAAAATTACTTCACCAAGACTTTTTATACCCTTGCAGAGGGTATTATAATTTCAGTCAAAAGTTTGCAACGCAGTGAAGGAGACATTTCCGACCCTATAAAGTATATATATTCTTGATCAGGATCAATAGGGGAGTCGATATAGCCATGTCCGTCTGTCCGTCCGTCCGTCCCTTTCTACGCAAACTAGTCCCTCAGTTTTAAAGCTATCTGCTTGAAACTTTCCTTAAAATTGTATTTCTATTGCAGGTAGTATATAAGTCGGAACGAGCCGGATCGGGCGACTATATGATATAGCTGTCATATAACTGAACGATCGGAAAAGCCATAACTTTAGTGTTTTTAAAGTTAGGAAGTTGGGATTTTCTATGGGTTTTATTTTTGACTAATCAATCCGACCTACCGAATTTCAAAAGGATCGGCCGACTATATCTTATAGCTGCCATATAACTGAACGATTGGAAATGTCATAACTTTGGTTGGAAGTTGGGACTTTTTATGAGTATTAAGAATGCATCATATGAATAATTTTGGAGAATATAATTTACAGAATATTCTGCAAGGGTATATCAACTTCGGCTCCGCCCGAAGTTAGCTTTCCTTTCTTGTTTGTGTGTAAGCTAACTTTCTTAAAAGGGGTTTACAACAAAATTTTGAATGCGCCGGTAAATATTTTTAACCCAAACTTATTAATAGAGCGATCCAGATCAAGAATATCTAATAGGATCGACCTATTAAATACTTTTCAAAGAATAAAAGAATGAAATTTTGTTTCATGATTTTTTTATAGAGCAGGATGGGACCTAAAAGGGCCCTTAGGAAAAATCGATACAATTTAAATTTAAAGTTATTTAATTTGACGGTCGTAGTTAGTTTTATTCATTTACTAAACACAATTATTAGAAATGTACTCATATACTCTACTAATGTTTGTGAATAGTAAGTTCATACAATTTTGCAATTCTATTCTATTTTGTGAGTATAACAATTTTCAGTTCAATCTTAGTAGTGTTCCATGTTCTCAGCACTCTCTGGATTTCACATAGAATCCGATCATTTCTTATAAAATTGGTGTACAATGTCGTATATTAAATATTTAATTTTTGTATTGGCTGCAAGGGTATATAAACTAAAACTTTATTTGTACCACCAAAAAATGGTTCAACAAGCTCTTCGCCAAGAAAGTCTCTTATGCTTTAAGAAGTGATCTAAGATCGTTTAATGTCAAAACAAAAATTTAGTTAAGCTTTGTAACTAATACATTTAAAATGTATCGAAAAATCATGTATTTGAGTTAGATGGATCGGATAAGATTTTATTTAAATTTTTTATTTTAGAAGGCATAATTTTGATTTGTTGATCTATAGTTCTTTATAAGTTGGCATCACCGATCCATATTTTTTTCAACAGATTGTGCGTCGTCGATCACGCCGCGCCCGCATGTGGAACATGGGGTTGCTATTCTTAATATACTACTGCGTCAGCGTCTACTCGGCCAAGGGGGACACCAAAGAAGGACAGCCCCAGTCTCTTAATGTCGACGGCCTGGACAAGGACGCCGTCGACACGGAAGCTAACGGAGAGGATGGCGCAGGGGCGAACACTGAGGGCAGCTCTGTTCTGGAAACCACACCGGCGTTTGAGGTGAGTAGAAATGTTATTAAAAGGCTGCAGGATCACTCATGACGTTATTCCGACCCGGCAGGGACAGGTGACCACGCAATCCACTCCCGTTCATGGAGCCGTTCCCACCTGGCGTCCCAAGCGCGACAATTGCACCCCACCGGCCATCGAGCAGTTCCCAGAGCCGCTGATGAACAAGTGGGCGCGGCAGCACGGCGGCCTCATCCTGCACATCCTGGTGGCCGTCTTCACCTTCTTCGGCCTGGCCATCGTCTGTGACGAGTACTTTGTGGCCAGCCTGGATCGGTTGTGCGAGGGTGAGCTTGAAATGAGGGAATATGACCGAAATTTTTAAGGACTCTTAAATCTGTTTGTCGATCTATTTAGTATGGAAAAGTCTGATTTAAAAGATTTAGATGCCAAATTTTTAAACGTGTCTTTTGTAAGTTATGTCCAAATTCGTTGCGATACGAGCTTATTGTCTGTCCAACTCTTAATCCAGGATTGGATTCCTCATAATATTAACTTTTTATACCCTTGCAGAGGGTATTATAATTTTGGTCAAAAGTGTGCAACGCAGTAAAGGAGACATCTCCGACCCTATAAAGTATATATATTCTTGATCAGGATCACCTCCTGAGTTGATATAGCCATGTCCGTCTGTCCGTCTGTCCGTCTGTCTGTCCGTCTGTCTGTTTCTACGCGAACTAGTCTCTCAGTTTTAAAGATATCGAATTGAAACTTTGCACACACCCTTCTTTCCTTTGCACGCAGTATATAAGTCGGAACGGCCGGGATCGGACGACTATATCCTATAGCTGTCATATAACTGAACGATCGGAAATGCCATAACTTTGGTGTTTGTAAAGTTAGGAAGTTGAGATTTCCTATAGGTTTTATTTTTGGCCAATCAATCTGACCTACCGAATTTCATGAGAATCGGCCGACTATATCTTATAGCTTCCATATAACTGAACGATCGGAAATGCCATAACTTTGGTGTTTGTTAAGTTAGGAAGTTGGGATTTTCTATGGGTTTTATTTTTAGCCAATCAACCCGACCTATCAAATTTCATAAGGTTCGGCCGACTATATCCTATAGCTGCCATATAACTGAACGATTGGAAATGCCATAACTTTGGTGTTTTTAAAGTTAGGAAGTTGGGATTTTTGATGAGTACTAAGAATGCATCATATGAATAATTTTGGAGAATATAATTTACAGAGTATTCTGCAAGGGTATATCAACTTCGGCTCCGCCCGAAGTTAGCTTTCCTTTCTTGTTTTAACTTTTCTTAGTATATATTAAAGCTAAATGACCTATCAGCTAGCTGAAACGATTACTTAAGGCTGTTGTCATATTCTATGAAAGTGAGGTTTTGAAGTTTAAAGGTCACATGTTTTAAATGTTTAGTTTTTATCACCTTGTACCCTTATTTGGGCTTTTGAACACTCTAGTATCACAAAACAAGAAAGGAAAGCTAACTTCGGGCGGAGCCGAAGTTGATATACCCTTGCAGAATATTATGTACTTTTTTCTCCAAAATTATTCGTATGATGCATTCTTAATACTCAAAAAAAATCCCAACTTCCTAACTTTAAAAGCACCAAAGTTATGGCATTTCCAATCGTTCAGTTATATGGTAGCTATAGGATATAGTCGGCCGATCCTTATGAAATTTTATAGGTCGGATTGATTGGCCAAAAATAAAACCCATAGAAAATCCCAACTTAACAAACTCCAAAGTTATGGCATTTCCGACAAATCAGTTATATGGCAGCTATAGGATATAGTCGGCCGATCCCGGCCGTTTCGACATATATACTGAGTGCAAAGGAAAGAAGGGTGTGTGCAAAGTTTCAGTTCGATATCTTTAAAACTGAGAGACTAGTTTGCGTAGAAACAGACAGACGGACAGACAGACGGACAGACGGACATGGCTATATCAACTCAGGAGGTGGTCCTGATCAAGAATATATATACTTTATAGGTTCGGAGTTGTCTCCTTCACTGCGTTGCACACTTTTGACCAAAATTATAATACCCTCTGCAAGGGTATAAAAAATTACCCTTTGACTCGTTCTTGAGATAAAAACATGTTATATGTCTGTCTATAAATTAACTTCCTAAAAGAAACCGCTAGTTCGAAAATTTTCAAATCGGTATAAAACAGCATATGTTTTCAGAAAAGTTTATCTATTCTCGTTTAGACAGTACCAACTGGAGAATGTCTGTACTTTCGGTTCTCTTGATTTTTAACGTATAATATAAGGACTGTCAAACCACATGTTACAAGCGAACATCATAGAACTCCTACCAGCGTTTAATGTATAAAAACCTATATACGGGGTTTTATTGTTGTTAGCTAGTGTAATATCAGATTCTAGTCAGTAGTGCTTCCCAGGAGCGAAATTAATTCAGATTAATTTCTAGAGCTAAAGCTTTCGCCGGATGTGGCGGGAGCCACCTTTATGGCTGCCGGAAGCTCGGCACCTGAGTTGGCCACCGTGGTAATAGGCGTGTTCTTCGCCAAGGACGACATCGGCATCAGCGGTGTGATCGGCTCAGCCGTGTTCAACATCATGTTCGTGATCTCCGTATGCGCCCTCTGCTCCGGTACCGTCTGTCAGCTGAACTGGTGGCCCCTGGTGCGAGACTGCTTCTTCTACTGCGTCTCCATCCTGGTTATGCTGATAATCATTTTCAACGACGTCATATCCTGCGTAAGTGCCGTACAAAGTCCAACGGTCGTCACCTTACCTTTACTAATATTTTCAGTTCGAGTCCGTGGTAATGCTTCTCTGCTACGTGGTGTACTGCGTAGCCCTCCACTTTAACACAGAGCTGGAACGATGGGCTCTAGGTCTGAACCTACCCTTCAAGCTGCCCAGCAAGGAGGAACAATCGGCGCTGGTGACCTACAAGAACGTGCCGGAGAGCTCATACACTCAGGAAAGTAGCCAGACCCAGGGGCAGACGGCTCCAAAGGATCCCAGTGAGAGCAGACATGCGGAGCCGCAGAACGACTACCAGAACTACAGCGATCCTAATGCTAGCTGGGATCCGAACGCTGCCTGGGGCGAGGAGACCCAGCCGAAGCCAGTGGCCAACCCGCCGCCGGTGGACGACTGGGGCATGGGCCAGGCTGGCCAAGAGAATATGGGCTACCACGCCGATCAGCCCGAGTCAGTGGTCACCGGCGAGGCGACGGCGGCTGCGGCTACCAAGAGTGGGGGCCAGGTGGTTCCCACCCAGGCAGCCTCGGCCGGAGGAGTTGACTACTACAAGTCCACGGACAAGCAGCGAGAGCCACGCCGCGATCCCCTGATCCGACCCACGGAAGGAGGGCTGCCGGCACTGGTCGCCTGGTACGTGGTCTACCCGATTCACTACCTCTGCAAGAAAACAATGCCCGACTGCCGCCAGGAGCAGTATCGCAACTGGTACCCCTTCACGTTCCTGATCTCAATGGTGTGGATCTCGTTCTACTCCTACTTCATGGTGTGGATGATCACCGTGATCGGCTCCACGCTGGCCATCCCGGACACTGTGATGGGGCTGACGTTTGTGGCCGCTGGCGTGTCCGTCCCGGATGCCCTAAGCTCAATAGCCGTTATCAAAGAGGGCTACGGCGACATGGCCGTATCGAATGCCATTGGCTCAAATGTCTTTGATATACTAGTGTGCTTAGGTCTTCCCTGGTTCATACAAACGGCCATCATAAAGCCCGGCTCGCACGTCAACGTAATATCCAAGGGTATGTACTGCCTCGATATCCTGTATCTGCTTGCGTGTCTACCTCGTAGTGCTCGTCGTGTGTCCAACGTGTGGTTTGCCTGGCATGAGTGTCCTAGTCTTTCTCCTAGCTAAAGTAGCAGCACACACTGATCGTGGTCAAGTCTAATCCCTGAGTGGTCTCCCCCTCTCTCTCTCTCTCTCTCTCTCTCTCCTCCGTATCATTTTCAGGACTAGCCTACTCCACGCTGTCGCTCTTCTCCACCGTTGTCTTCTTGATCCTCTCGACGCACCTTAACGGCTGGAAGCTAGACAAGCGATTAGGCATCATCCTTATGATCTGGTATCTGTTCTTCATTACGCTGGCGTCGCTCTACGAAATGAATGTCTTTGGCTACATGAACCCACCCGAGTGCCCCAGTGAGTATGCTCCAAGGATACGATCGAATCGGTTGAGCTTCTCAATCCAAGCCATTCCGTTTCAGGCACTTACTAAAAACCCGACGATGTCAGAAACGCACTTATATTTTCATAACCAGCACCAAGTACCGTATACATATAGACATACAAGTAGAATTGTTCATAGCCGCAGCTAAAACCAACCGAAAACACTGCAACAACTCGAAGGGGAAAGGATTAAGAGTAACATTTACCTAACGTTAATTAGAGGACAAATTTAATACTCAAAGCGCGTTTTACATGAATTTTTACATTGCACCAAAGGGACGTGGAGCCGATAAACCAAAAAGATAAATTATATAAATGTACATGTATACTATATTTATTAATATGTATTTAAAAAATATTTAGGCAATTAACAAACAATATAATGGTAATTTTTTCTAAAATGAGATGCCTTTTGGCTAAATTTAATTTCATTTTTTATTAGGAAAAACTTTTTCTCTGTTTTTGATACTAAGCACAATTGAATTCGCTCACATTATTAATTAGTAAGGATTGGTCTTTACGTGCTCAAATGTTTAAAACTTCATTATGCATAAGCTACGTTTTAACAAAAGCTACATTTAACAAAATGGTCATTTTTTGAAAAAGAATATTAAACTTTGCTTAGTATCAATAGCATTTCATTCTCTTCCTTGAAAGATTTTTTAATGGAAATTATGTTTGTCTTACAATAAGATGTACGTAAATGACGTACTAAAAATTTTCGTATTTTTTCACCTTTTTCAAAAAAAATTATTATTATTATTATATTATTGAAATTTTCAAAAAGTTTCCCACTTTAGAAAGAATTACACACATGTAATAAAAGACAATTAAACATAAAGCAAATATAGCAACTGTAGATAGGGAGACAAATGTATGTAATTAAGAACAATGAGAACAAAATTAGCTATTGTTGCTAATGGTTTTAAGAAACAACGCAAGATGTCCCACACCACAATCAAATAATTATGCGATTATATTATTTTATTTAGTCGCATACATGTATGTATATACTTTTGAATCACATTGTTTTCTTACAAGTTGATTATTTATAGACCTTAGTTTTACGAATTCTTTTAAGAAGCTCCGTTAATTAAGACATACAACGCTCGTGAAAATTCCCTTTAGCTATGTATGTTTTGACCAAGAGATCGAATATTTCGAGACAGACCAGACACGCAGAGTTATGAGCTGTGGAACAAGGACAACGAATTTTGTTCAATTTTTGATCAGAAATTCTAATTTTTGAAAAAGTACGATCATAAATGATTTTTTTGTTAGATTCAACTCAATTTACAGCCGATAATTTAACGATTCCATACGAAAAACGTCCTAGGCTTTCCGATGATACAAACAAACAGTGAAGTGCAAAGAAAATTATCATGGCGGCAATTAATCGTGTCAATTTTCTATTGTAAATAACATACATATATATAAAATATTAAATATTTTATGGGACGCATACTAATACTTGAAGTCAATTTCATAACCAGCCCTGTTCCCATTCCAGATTTTTATGAAATTTTAATAATAGTTTTAAAGGTTTCAATATTTTTCTGTGGTAATTTAATGAAAATACCTTATTCGTTTCAATTCGCTTTCGTTTTTCTAAGTCGGACACGGGAACCGCACTGAAAGTTGGTAATGACATTTATTCTGAATTTACAATAACAATAATTATCTGCGTAATCCTAAATTTAATATTTATTCTTATTCAGCCAATACATGATCCCTGAAGAAAGAATATGAACGTTGTTTTGTATTCAAAGCGGGTAAAATTACTATTCAAAATCATAACAAGAGTACGCTTTTAATCTATGTTATTTGTCTCTGATTAGACAATTGAAGGCACTCGTAATATATCTTTAGCCGATTGGTCATCCGAGCTTCTAAATTTGATCAAAGTCCAGCTGATTTTCTTAATTTTAGAAGCTAAGAGACATTGAAGCTGGTGGTCAATCGAGACACAGAATCAGACGTTAGCTGAAACCAATGTCTGAGACAAGTGGTATAAATACAGTATATACCCAGACATTCACATATAGCATACCGATACTAAACATACTTACGTAGTGAGCACTGCTACATATATATGGACGCGCTCTAATCATAGTCAAATACTTAGATACATATTTATACAAAGTGAACATACATATACAAATAAACAATAAAGATTCATGTTTAAATATTTTGGAACAAACAAAACTAAGACCAAGTAACAGACTTCTATAATTTACGAAACTCAACTTCCAGAAACTAATCAATCACAAGCTAAGCATAGAAAGTCGTGTTTAAAATAATAATACCTTCCTTCAACTTTTAAGGTTCGTTGTGGTTTATTTAAAAATATATACGGCTCATTTTATGGTTAATTAAACACACAATTCCTGGCAGTTTGAGTTAAGGTCTCGATCTCGGAAACTAATAGAACTGAAAACTGATATTAAGGATGAAGATTTTGTTGATGCCCACACAACGTTTGTTTAACACACTTTTAAATGTTTTTAGACTTGATAGGTTTATACTGAAAATATCTACCGAAATTGTTGCAACACTTTTCCTAACAGACCAGTGAAAAGCGGTCTAAAACAGTAGTATAGAGTTTATTTTGTTTTTTATTCTAAAAAAAATTGGATTAGTATGTTTGATAAAAGGTACTCTTATAATAAAAAACTATTACTGTAAACTACCAGATATATTCAGTGTAATGGGCTCTTATAATCAAAAAAGGTTCCTTGAGATATTTTTAAACTCTTGTTAGGCGATATGTGTCACATCATGACATTGACTTATTCTGGGTTTCTTTTAGTTTTTAGTAGAGTACACAATATTTTATGAATTCCATTATTTAAAAGTCATATAACGATATTAATGTTCATTTTAATCAGATACAAATCTTTCAGTTATTTATTTATTTACTTTTACTTTTTTAATAATCATTGATTATTATATTATAAAAACCTTAACGGACCTTTTAAGGGGGTGGCACTACAAGTATTTAACAGAAATACATACAAACAAACATTAACCAAATCAACGTAACACAAAAAATCGTATGAACAATCGCCTGTTGAAAACACCCACTTACCCAATTATATAGTTTATTTATTGCATTATATATTACCACAAGTGGGTTGCTCTTCTTGGCACAACCCAAGTACATGGTTCTTCCCTAGTCCACAAAAATAGTCGATCCAGAATGTTTTTCAGAACGTACCACAGGGCATGTAAAACTCTTAGTTAAATTTGTAATTAATCAACACTCAATTATGATACAATATACAAACATACATATATACATACATACATATATAAACAAAACTAATTTAAAACTATAAATAGCATTTTTGTTTAAATTATCAAATATCGTTCAACAGCTAGCACGTCGTTGCAGTTTGATTAAAATTATTTTAAATAAAGATCCTTCAGAGAATTGAATCCAATATATGTACATGTTTCGTGTTACTTTGAACTGTATCTAATGCAAAATTGCACCTATAAGAGAAATATATACAACTATGCCAGCTACTTTATTTAGTGATGAGGATCCAGATTACCTACGAGTTAGGAGCAGAGGTAGATACAAAATGAATACTTCAATAAACTTTCCCTAACAACAAATACAATGTACAATAATTGTTACTTAAACTTACATACTTAAAACTAAAACATGCTATTCCAAAAAAATACAATAAATGTTTACGTCTGACATTTGTGTTAATTAGTCGTAATTGTTTAAAAAAAAACTATATTAAAACCTACCAAATTAAATTCTGAAGTGTGTTTAAAAATTAACTTCGACCGACAACTTATACTTATTGGTGAGATTAAAAATAAAACAAGAAAAACTATTGCTAATATACAAAACTGTTGTTGTTATGTTTAGTCTAATAACGAATTCTGGAAATAAATGCATAAATAGAGACAAAACAGTCAATGGGATTTCTGTCGTTTTTGTGTGTTTTCAGGGTGAGCGCCAATCGCATGAAAATGGCAAAGCCATAATATAACTATCTTATATTCTGCCTTTTGGTGCCTTTAATGCAAAACAGAAACAAAACTAAAAACAAAAAAAGTAATTTATTTTTTTTAAAAAACGACTATAAAACAAGGAGAACGGCTATAGTCGAAAGCATCGACTCTAAGATACCCGTTACTCAAAAATGCCGATGGCGCATTTCAACAACTTTATGTGGCGCCATCTACCAAACTGCAGTGCAAACTCCACAAGGTGATAGCAAGCAGTATCCCCGCGCTCGTTAATATTCTTCACGCTCTCTTCCGCTCTCTCAAAAAAAATGACTTCATCATAATGATGAAATTTAATCAATTTTTGGAGTGTCGATAGATATTGAATAAGTTTTTTAGTGCGCGTTTGACATATACCGCCCGATAATCCCACAATCGTCATGCTAAAGCCTAGTACTCAGATTAAGAAACAAGTTCGCAAGCGGAAAAACTGTAATCTTTCAGTCGTGACAGCATTTTCGGTCTTACTGTCGATCAGCTTGGTTAGTTGAGAAGCAGTTTTAGATGGACACATACTACTTACCGCTAACATGGTTTTTAATTTGTTCTAAAGAGTGAATTTAAAACTTACACTAGGGCATAGAAAGTTGTATTTTAATACTTTCATAGTTATTAAATTAATTCTAATTTTTTTAAAATCAATTTTGAGTACTTCAATTTCAGGTAACAAAAGTCTGGCTGCTACTATTATTTTTTTAGAAGTGTTTCTTAAGGCCAACAAATTTATATTTTTTAACCAAATCATAATTTTATTATGAGTCGTATGAATAGTGTTTAGTAAAAACTTAAAAATCATTGCGCAACGCTCAATCGTTAAATTTAAAAGTCTTGGCTTTCGAGTGAACTCATTACACACAAAACCCTACCATTCCAGACGGTGTGGTTAGGATAAATAATTTACTTTAAAACCGAAAATATAATTTTCTGGTGCAAAAATACAAAAAATAGCAATATAAATTAATTATATGCTATTATATTTTAATGAAGTTGTAATGCATATTTAATTTGGTAGTTGATCGTCCTTACATTTATCACATATTAGAAAACCATTTAAAGATTTTGTAAACCACTACATGTTTTAATTAATTCGCATTTCGAAACATATTTTATTTTCAAATTAAGAAAATATTTAAATATAGCTAAAAACAGCTCTATATTTATTCTTGCTCTTTCTTAACGTATCTTTACAACCACGCGCTATTTATGGCTAAGGAGATATGCATACATAAGTGTCCCCACACAGCCCTATGTTAAGGCTATGTAAAAACAAATTTTGACAATGAAATTCCTACAGTGCGAAAAAATTTGATGTCATAGCTGTATAATATGCTAAAGTTTAAAAGAAAAATATATTTTTCATTATATATTTATTAAAAATAATAATGAAATTAGTTTTTTATTTGTTTAATATCTTACTTTAACCCAAAGATCGGATTTTATAGCATGGTACAAAATGTTTTTTAAAGCTTAAAACAGTATATTTTAATATAGCAGGTAAACAAACGATAGTGACTGATGCTGGTAGTCGGTAATGCGAAGATAAATTAAATAATTTCAAATTAGCAGAGGAATACACACATATAAGGCTAATTAAAATAAAAACAGAACACATCGCTTAGTTTGCTGTCAAGGAGTATAAAAATGAATACCCACTCACGGTACAAGGTAAGTAATTATTATTTTACATTTATAAAAACAAATTGATAATTTTTGTTGCGTACTTACTCCTACGTTTAGAAGAAAGAGTTTCAAACAAATAAACAAATCTGGATTTCACCGATAAAAGTTTGCTATGTTTTTCAAATCATTTCAAAAAGCGTGAACAATTTCTATTATTTTTTTATTTATTACATATATAAATTCCAAATTCTCTTTTACTCATGGAATCAAGCAGCTGCAAAAAATAGTTTTCGGCAATAGAGATAAAATCAAAGGGTATTATTTCTGTTTGTACTAGGAATTTCGGGTGCTTAACACCTGGCAAGCCCAGCTGTTAAATGCGGCGCACGCACTAAAGCTCTCTCCCACTCTCCGCTCTCGCCCCTTTCCAGCCGTCCAGCTTTCCCCGCTCACAGCGCTCGTCACAGTGCCACCTTATCCGACATAACCGTTACGCATACACATCAGCCGCGAGTGGAGAGCGGGGAAAGCTCTGTGGAGCTCCAACCGGTGTCGGTGGCTCCCGCTCAGTCGTTAATTCACTGCCAAAGTGGTAGCAACGAGGGAGAGTGAAAGTTGGCTGGAAGTCGGCTGGAAATATACAATATACGGACACGGTGTGTGTGCGCTGCTACCTGTTCTTTTGCTTGCTGTGTGTGTTCCCTCCGATAAGAGTCGTAGATTCGTCAATACTTATCATAATCGCAGACGAATTATATAACCCTCAATACTTTTGAATACATAATCGCGAAGGCACGGCTACCGACCACCGACATTATGGTTTTAAAATCCTCCCTATGCACTTAACCGCGGGCGGGGCGTGTACATATGTATACAGTGTTTTTTTGTGCCTACATACATATATGCGCAAAGAAGCGTTGTCGGGAGAAACTTGTTTACCAGCGATAACGCGTCGCAGTTAGGTCACCAGAATCGGGTTGATAAGAGCCGCTTTTAAAGGCGGGACCGGGAAACATGTAGCATCTGAAACCAACGCAGACCCTCCGACTTTTAGTAGACAAATCAATTCCACACTGATTAGATTCTTTGCAGGCAAATCAGATTCGACAAGACCATGAGCCCCCTTCCCCGTGTCAACATTGACCAGCCCAAATATGATCAGGAATCGTATTTGGGCAGAGCCAAGCACTTCTTCCTGCTGACCAACCCACTCAACGTGCTGGCCTCCCCCGCGAAGCTGGAGGAGGCCCGCCAGATCGTGCTGAAGTACCGGGCCGGTAAGGAAATACCACTGTCCAGTTAACTGCAGCAATAAACTCCGGACCTATTTCAGGCAAGGATGTGCCCGAGTGCAAGACCATCGATGATGTGTGGCGAGCCAAGTACCTATACGATTCGGCGTTCCATCCGGAGACGGGCGAGAAGCAGATAGTAATCGGACGCATGGCGGCGCAGATGCCCATGAACACGATCATTACCGGAGGTGGGTACGAGCAGCGTTTTTGGGGCTCAATTGGGGCCTTTTGAACTATCTGCTTCCGCGCCGCAGATTAATTCGAGCACAATAATGGTACAACTGTTTTCTAGGCATGATGACCTTCTACAAGAGCACGGCCGCCGTTGTCTTTTGGCAGTGGTTCAATCAGACGTTCAACGCCATCGTTAACTTTACGAACCGCTCGGGCACGTCCCCCATCAGCCAGCCGTAGGTACCGATCTGTAGCCGAAGTTGCTATTACTAAGTTCATCCCCCGCCTAGGCAACTGATCACCTCGTACTGCCTGGCGACCAGCGGAGCCCTGGTCACGGCCTTGTCCCTGAACCGGGCGGTGAAGAACATGAATCCGCTCCTGGGACGACTTGTCCCCCTGGTTGCAGTGGGAGCCGCCAACTGCATCAACATTCCATGCATGCGTATGCAGTAAGTAGACCTGGCTTCCTGTCAATATGTCCTTCAGATATATGGTAGAAGAGCCTTTCAAAAGTATTGTCTAGAGATCCTCCTCTTCTCTGAGAAGATTAAAAGCCAAAATTTATTTTAAAACAAGAAAGGAAGCCAATTTGGGCAAGCCGAAGCTTATGAGCTTATACCCTTGCAGGTATTACAAAACGACTACATTTCTATTTCTATGCCTATATTACTAAAAACTATGAAGCTAGATATGTACATATGTCGATTTGGCGCTGCGTTTTTCCATGGCAGTTATATGATATTGTTGTCCGACTTTGACAAAACTAAAAGCGTAATTCTGATATAGTAAATAATTACTATATCTTAAAGGAATATTTTGATAAATAGAAAAACAGCTAAATAAAAATTGTTCTTCACTTTTTATTTTTATTACATTTTGGATTTTCTTATGGGAGCTATATGATATATGGCCCCCATAGGAAAATCGAAAAATTAAAAAATAAATATTGCTGTTTTTCTATTAATCAAAATATTCCTTTGAGTTTTTATTTACCATAACAGAATTACGCTTTTAGTTTTCTCAAAATCGGACAACAATATCATAAAGCTGCCATAGTTTTATTGTTATTAGTAATATAGGCATAGAAATCGAAATGTAGTCGTTTTGTAATAACTGCAAGGGTATATAAACTGCGGCTTGCCGAAGTTTGCTTTCTTTCTTGTTGTCTACAACTTTTGACTGAAATTGTAATATTCTTTACAAGTGTATAAAAGGAATTCGAAACAAAGTAAAAGCATTAACATACAAAATCTAATTCAACATTTTTCAAAAAGCTAAAGTATTAACGAATTTACGAATTTACTTAATGTTTTCAATTAGTAGTAGAAGTAACTTGCGGTTAGACGATATTTTTTTCGGATTATGCTAACGCATTTACACTTTTTAGGGAGCTGCGTAACGGAGTGGTGCTACTAGATGAGAACAACAATGAGATGGGCATATCTAAGAAGGCGGCAATGGTCGGCATCTCCGCCGTTATCTTAAGTCGAATCGCCATGGCCGTTCCCGGAATGAGTAAGCGCTCGCACATGGCATCCTGAAACCGTCAAATACTTACCATTCTTACCCTCCATTTCAGCATTGACGCCGGTGCTCATGAATACCCTAGAGAAGAGAGGATTCCTGGCCAAATACCCCCGATCCAACGCCCCCATCCAAGTGCTTTTCTGCGGCTTCGTACTGATTTTCGCCACGCCGCTCGGCTGCGCCTTCTTCAAGCAGCGGGCGGGCATCAAAGTGGACAGTCTGGAGTCGGAGGTTCGCGACAGCATTAAGAAGAAGCGCCCCGATCTAGACACCGTCTGGTTCAACAAGGGCCTGTGAGCCCCTGTGCAATTTACGAGCTTAACGAAGACAATATTGCTTTATTCAGTCGCCTAATTATTTAGTCACCGTGCATTTATTAGCATTTTGCCTGTTGAGTTTTGTTTGAAATACTCATGAGATTATTCCTTGGCCGCGCATTCTCACCGACGTGAGGCGTGAGGGAATGAAACTATATATCGTATTGTAAATGTGAAAAAAACCAAATATAAATTCTGTTAACTGTTGAATTTTATCCGAGTTTCCAATTGGGGTGCCTGCTTTTGGGCGAAGGCACTTTAGTGCTCGTTATCGATTGCCTAAGCGATAACAACATAACTTGATTGCAGTGTGCATGGTACCTTATTAGTTTATCGCTATCGCGCCAGTGCAACGTTGCGCACAATCGTGGCTTGCTCATACCTAACTGCTGGCCGACTCAGCTTGGGCTTGGTTTTGTTTTTATTTAATTAAACTATTTTTTAGATACCCGTAAAAATTTATTTAGAATTGGTTAGGTGCAACCGCATTTAGCCGTAAAATCCATCCTGCGAACCGAGATATATCGAAGCGCGAGTTTTCAAACGATTTGAGTCTGCGTCTAGGAATCGTGATTAAGGTGTGGTTAGATGTTTGCTTAGGAGATACACCAATAATGTTATCATGGGTCATTAAGAATGGGCCTATTTGATGACTAAACAGTCAGTAGGATCATAAACAAATGCTGGTCAATCACCGAATACTTTAAAACACAGTGTTCTACTAAAAAAAAAACATGGTTATAAATTCATCACGGCTTTCGACCACGCCTAAGCACACACACGCACACAGCACACGCAATGGATTACCAATTCCGACTATTTTGATTGACCAGCGATCTGCAGATTTGTTTACTTAAAATTTGTTTATGCCATTAGTTGTGAAAAATAAACAAGAACATATATTCGTTCTTTTGCTTCCAGAAACAATTGAATCCATAGCAAAATGTGCCTTTAGTCTTCTGCGAGTCGACATGAGAAGCAAGTCCCCACGCCATACAGAAGAAAAACACAGACCGAGTATGTTCCCAAAAAGGAGCCTTTTGGCCGGGCTTTTAGCGCTACATTTGGTTGGTCTGACCACGGCCCAGTTGCCCGGAGACCTACCTCCTGGCCAAGCGGACCCGGGGCAGCCAGGCCAGCAGCCACAGACCTATCAGCCCAGCTACAACAAGGACTACTCACCTCGTTTCAATCCGCTGTACACTGGACAGCAGCAGAGCCCGGAATCCAGCCAATTCGACAGTGCCCTGCTCGACGCACAGAACTCTGGCACATACAAGGGCTACTACGATGGCAGAATGGGAGTAGGAGGCATTGGCGGCAATGTGGTCGGACCCGGAAACACCCTGGGCGGGCTCGGTCCCCAGTACGATCCCTTTAACCGGAACAGTATTGGCTCGACGGGAGTCACCTACCGCGACGCCTACAGCGACGAGGACAACTTCTGCCCGGAGCACTGGGTCTCGTTCAGGCAATCGTGCTATCGCTTCATCCGTTCGCCCAAACGCAACTGGGCGGAGGCAAAGAAGATCTGCAAGGCCTACAATGCCGAACTGCTGAACGTGGACAGCGTGGAGAAGCATTCATTCATACTTAAGAACCTCATAATGCAAAATCAACGACAGAACCGATTTTTCATCTCTGCCCGCCAGACAGGCCCGCTAAACTGGGTCAACGACGACAACACCCAGCTAGTGCAAATCGACGACTCGTTTTCCATGGACGAACATGTGCCCCTGGAAAACGAGGATCTGCACGACAATCGATTCCTTGTTCAAAACGATCTGAACAACCGAAATCTCAACAATCCAAATCAGTTTTATAACTCACTTCCAGGCAGCGTTAATCAGCGCAATCAAAATAACCTTCGCGGCTATATAGGCACGTACATGCGATACCCGCACCTAAATTGTTACTTTGCTAATTCGTCTGTTATTTTTAGGTCCAAACCAGCCGTACGGAGACAATGGGTATGTGCGGGATCGCGTAGTCTACGCTTACTCCAAGAAGAAGGATCGCTGGATGTTTATGCCAGCGTACGAAATTGAATTGAATCTCTTTATTTGCGAGTCGAAGGTTCTATATACCCCAGATAATGTCAATATTAAACTGGACGACAAGCGCCCCTACCACTATGGACTCGATATTACGGACATGGAACGCATACCGCGGGGTCCTTATTTCGTAAAGCAGCCGAATGATACGACTTTTGATGTGAACAAAAATCGTCTGATCAATGATGTAACACTGAGCTGTTTGGCTGGCGGTTTTCCCACGCCCTCATACCACTGGTACCGCGAGGTGTACGTAAACGACACACTCGAGTACCAGAAGATCGATCCTCTGACGGATAACCGATACACCATATCGGGGGGAAACCTGATCATCTACGGGCCAAAGCAGGCACTGGATCAGGGCGCATATCATTGCGTAGCGGAGAACAAATTTGGACGCATTCGTTCTGAAAGCGCGCATCTAAACTTCGGTTTCATTATGGAATTTAACTTAAAACGCTCTGCGGAGTCAAGCGAGATGAACTGGGGAAAATCGATTTTCTGTGATCCACCGCAGCACTATCCCGACGTGCGCTATTACTGGGCACGCGACTTTTTCCCCAACTTCGTGGAGGAGGACCAGCGTGTATTCGTCTCCCGCGATGGCGCTTTGTACTTCTCCTTTATAGAAACTGTGGATAGGGCCAACTACTCATGCATCGTGCAAACCCTTGTGTCGGACACCGGCCGCAACGGACCCTTCTTTCCGCTGCGCGTAACTCCCAACAGCAACTATCAGGCACTGATATTCGCCAACACCTTCCCCAAAGTGTTTCCGGAGGCGCCGGTGGCTGGTGAGGAGATTCGACTGGAGTGCATGGCATTCGGCTATCCCATCCCGTCGTACAACTGGACGCGTCAAGGTCTACCTCTCCAACGCAACGCTTACACCATCAATTACGGTCGAGTGCTAATTATCCAAAACGCTACTACAAACGACAACGGCGAGTACTCCTGCACCATTACCAATCCCCGCAAGACGCTGATAAAGAGCGTCTATATAAACATCCAAATGCGCCCACAGTTCACCATTCCTCTCAAGGATATGATCAAAGACTACAACAGCGACGTGACTTTCATATGTGAGGCCTTTGCCATTCCGGACGCGAACTACACGTGGTACAAAAATGCTGAACGCCTCGATCCCGCAACCATTAATCGGGACCGCTACATTATCCAAGACAATGTTCTAACCATTAAGTTTTTGGAAAAGGATAAGGACGAGGCTATGTACCAGTGTGGAGCCCAAAATCAGCTGAAAACGTCCTTTTCTTCAGCGCAGCTCCGGGTGCTGTCTATGAAACCGTCCTTTAAAAAATACCCTCTCGAGTCAGAGGTATACGCTGTTTACAATGGCAACACCACTATTGTCTGCAACCCTGAAGCCGCTCCACGCCCTAAATTCCAATGGAAGAAAGACGGTCAAGTCTTAGGCTCAGGTGGACACCGGCGAATCCTGCCCAGCGGCACCCTGACTATTGCACCCACGTCGCGCGACGATGAGGGCACTTACACATGTATTGCATCAAACCAGGCCGGTACCGATGAGTCCCATGCCCGAGTTATTGTTTTGCGTAAGAAAAGAAAGTAATTTTTCACAAACCTTTCTCCAACTTAAAATTTAATTATTGCAGAGGAAATCGTTTTTGTTGAAACCCTTCCGCAACGCATAGTTGCCAAGGAACATGACCTAATCTTCTTGCATTGTGAGGCCGTCTTTGATGAACTGCTGGACGTTGCTTACATTTGGAAGCAAAACGGAGAAATTCTAAAGAACAACCATGACGGCACCGGACGTATTGTAAGTTTTTTTTTTTTACCAAATATGTACTGACCTTCCTAATTCCGCAATATCCGCATTTCAGATTGTTAACTGGAACAGATTGACAGTGTATAACATTACCATGCGTGATGCCGGGGACTACGAGTGCGTCGTCAAGTCGTCGGTCAATGAGATCAGCAGCAAGACCAGTGTGTCCATCGAGGGAGCACCTGGCGCACCAGGCGGCGTTCAAGTCATACAGATCAGTAAGACGAAGGCCATCATTGAGTGGGTGGATGGAGCCAACAACGGCAGGGCAATCCGCTACTACAACATCCTAGGCCGCACCAACTGGAACCGCACCTGGGTTAATGTTTCGACCCATGTGCAGTCGCGGGAGGTGGACCGCTACACTTCGCGCCAACAAGCCGAGGTGATCAATCTGACGCCGTGGTCGGCCTACGAGTTCAGTGTGACCGCCGTAAACGACCTCGGAATCGGAACGCCGTCAGCCCCATCGCCAATATACAGCACCTATGAGGATAAGCCCTACATTGCCCCGAGGAACGTGGGTGGCGGGGGCGGTAAAATCGGCGACCTTACGATTACCTGGGACCCGCTGTTGCCGCAAGAGCAGCATAGCCACGGTATTCACTACAAGGTCTTTTGGAAGCTGAAGGGAGCGATCGAGTGGGCTTCGGACGAGATTAGGAAACAGGATCATATGGGAGTGGCAGTGGTTAACATTCCCCTCAACAACTACTATACAGAGTACGAAGTCAAGGTGCAGGCTATTAACAACATTGGCAAAGGACCGGAGAGTGGTATTGCTGTAATTCATTCGGCCGAGGACATGCCGCAAGTGGCTCCCCAAAAACCCTTTGCGCTCGGCTTTAATTCCACCTGCTTTAATGTCACCTGGCAACCAATTGACATGTCCCGTGAGAACATTCGCGGTAAACTCATTGGTCACAGGGTAAGATTGCTTATTTAAATATTGTACGTTGTGGCTAACTGTTTCGTTGTAGTTGAAGTATTGGAAAACTACGCATCAGGAAGAAGACTCCGTGTACTATCTGTCACGTACCACTAGAAATTGGGCGCTGATCGTTGGCCTGCAGCCAGACACGTACTACTTTGTGAAGGTGATGGCATACAACGCTGCTGGAGAAGGACCCGAAAGCGAAAGATTTGAAGGTGGGTTACAGAAAACTGAAAAAGGTACAAAATAAATAACTGATTAATTTGACCTTTAACTCTTTCCAGAGCGCACATATCGAAAGGCCCCGCAAAAGCCCCCGTCTTCAGTTCACGTGTATGGAATAAACCCTTCCACGGTTCGAGTTTCGTGGCGTTACGTTTCCCCCTCGCAGGACGAAGAACCAGTCGAGGGTTATAAGGTAAACAACTTGGCCCAGATACCAAGAAATTGATCATTAACGTCTCACAATATTCAAGGTTCGAGTTTGGGAAACGGACCAGAACATGATCACAGCCAACAATACGATCGTGCCAATTGGACAGAAGCTTGAGGCCTACATTAACACGCTCACCCCCGGAAAGAGCTACAACATGCGAGTCCTGGCCTTCAGCAACGGAGGCGACGGTCGCATGTCCAGTCCCACTTTGCGCTTCCAAATGGGCAAGACGACTCGCAATGCTGCCCGACATGGCCATAACATCGATACGGCACTTATCTTAAGCACATTGCTACTCCTCACCACCTTTTTCTACACAAGCCACTGAATGCAGCACAAATCAAGATGCATAAATTTAGACAGTAAGAACATATAATATACTAAGAAGTGACCTTATATAAGAGTAAGTAGTACAGCGAGAAAAACAAATGCATTCCATTTTTGATCTTTTGTAATAAATTCAATTCCGTCCATTTTAAAGACTTTTTAAAAACAAATAAATTTGTATTTTTCCAAATATGTTGTCAATAACATTAGGGGTATGGTAGAAAAAACAAGAAAGGAAAGCTAACTTCGGGCGTAAATTATATTCTCAAAAATTATTCATATGATGCATTCTTAATACTCATAAAAAGTCCCAACTTCCTAACTTTAAAAACACCAAAGTTATGGCATTTCCGATCAATCAGTTATGTAGCGGCTATAGGATATAGTCGGCCGATCCTTATAAAATTTAGTATGTCGGATTGATTGTCCAAAAATAAAACCCATAGAAAATACCAACTTCCTAACTTTAAAAACACCAAAGTTATGGCATTTCCGATCAATCAGATATGTAGCTGCTATAGGATATAGTCGGCCGATCCTTATAAAATTTAGTATGTCGGATTGATTGGCCAAAAATAAAACCCATAGAAAATCCCAACTTCCTAACTTTAAAAACACAAGTTATGGCTTTTGCAATCGTTCAGTTGTATGGGAGCTATATGATATAGTCGCCCGATCCGGCTCGTTCCGAATTATATACTGCCTGCAATAGAAAGACCACTTTTGGGAAAGTTTCAAGCAGATAGCTTTAAAACTGAGGGACTAGTTTGCGTAGAAACGGACGGACGGACAGACGGACATGGCTTGATCGACTCTCCTGGTGATCCTGATTAAGAATATATATACTTTATAGGGTCGGAAATGTCTCCTTCACTGCGTTGCAAACTTTTGACTGAAATTATAATACCCTCTGCAAGGGTATAAAAATTTAGTTGAAAAGAATGAGTACTGTTATAACTTATTTAAAAAAAAAAATTCTTTATTATTGTCTTTCAACTTTTATTTATAAGTTTTAAAAGTCAGGTACTTTGACACGGGCTTACAAATTTAAGTACATTTTTGAATTTTCTTAAATCTGTCAAAATTATTTTTTTTTTGTTGTTGTGAATCCAAAAAGTGACTTGAGAATCTTCTGGAGAAATGGCCCTTGATTTTTCATTTAGTGCATAGACCCCATTAATGGTTATACTTTGCGAGATAGCGGTTCTGGTTTTTTTGAGTGCATGAAAACGAAGGTATCGACAAACGAACCGTTATGTTTGTTTCCGACTTCTATGCCTTGGCTAAAGACCAAATACAAAGTGGACTATAAAAACAAACTCAGAAAAAAATGCATGATCGAATCATAATGTTTGACTCAAGGTTGAGATCTCGAAAGCTAAAAAATGCGACCAAAAATGGAGATTAAAAAATATTTCTAAGTCAAACCAAAAATCCAGAAATTCTTTTAATCGGAACAATTTAAAGAAAGTTAACGCTTGGTCAACACACTTTGCGCTTAGTGTTCTGCGGTTAAAGAACGGATTTTTTATATTTGGACTACTTAATTATAGCGAGGACTACAGTTAATTTGTAAAGATCTTGGATAACGGTTTCCAAAAAATGTTCTACTTAAGCTTTTTTTTTTACAGATATCAATTTAAAAACGTTCCGACTTATATACTACCTGCAATAGAAAGACAAAAGTTTCAAGCAGATAGCTTGGGACTAGTTTGCGTAGAAACGGACGGACGGACTAGATCGACTCTCCTGGTAATGCTGATCAAGAATATATATACTTTATAGGGTCGTAAATGTCTCCTTTACTGCGTTGCAAGCTTTTGACTGAAATTAAATAAACTAGTTTCCAATTTAATTACATTTCAAATTAAAAAAATTTATAATTAATAAGTCTAGTTAAACAAGCTTTTAAAATAAATTTGACATAATACAACATCATACAAGACTTCATTTTTGCTCAGTTCATGATTAACAAGAAAGGAAAGCTAACTTCGGGCGGACCCGAAGTTGATATACCCTTGCAGAATACTCTGTAAATTATATTCTCTAAAGTTATTCATATGATGCATTCTTAATACTTATAGAAAATCCCAACTTCAGTTATATGGCACCTATAGGATATAGTCTGCCGATCCTTATGAAATTTGATAGGTCTGATTGATTCGCCAAAAATAAAACCCATAGAAAATCCCAGCTTCCTAACTTAACAAACACAATCAAGAATATATATACTTTATAGGGTCGGAGATGTCTCCTTCACTGCGTTGCACACTTTTGACCAAAATTATAATACCCTCTGCAAGGGTATAAAAACAATTAAACATAACTTTTATACGGTAACTTTTTCCTTAAAGTGTAATTCACCGGGTTAACCGATTTTACCGTTAAAGACTTATTTTTCCCCAACTATCCAATACACATCAAATAGATTGGTAAGTTAAAATATATGTTAGAAATCGAAAACGTTAGAAAAAGCTGGAAAAGATCAAAAACAGCCTCCAAGGTGAACAGACTGGCATAAAAACAAAAATTAATTTTATTCAAAAAATAAAAATTAAATAAGTAACCGAAAATATACCTTATTACACATAATACTGTGTGTTTATAATTTTCCCACTTTTAAAATATGACGGAGGAACCTTAGTAATAATTGGACAAAAATGACCTATTTCCCAATTCAACACAGGACATCCTATTGGAACGGTTTGGATTTTTGTGAAACTTCTGGTCCCACAAAGCCACGGTAGATGGTGCCTTAAACACAGCCGTCAGCAATCACAGTGGCGGAGCAGAATATTAGAAAGGAGGACTTTTAATTCTATTAACTGTTTTAAAAATTCTTTTCACTGCTTTTATATTATTAAATGCTATAGAATAATGGCTTCAAGCTAATCTAAACTTTTAAATATTGGCTAACATCTATTCTGTACAAAGCGGGTGGCTTGAAACGTTAATTCTCCATCCGGACCATTCAGCAAATGAGTGGTGTATGGTGCTCTGTGAGAAAAGTCCTCAAGGCTACTTTACATTTGGGCGATCCCATAGGAACAATGTCGTCATAAAGCAAAATTTGAAAAATAAATGTGTATAAGATTGATTCGCCTCAAATCATTTAAGATGTTAAAAATGTGGCAATGGAATCATGATATTTATCAATTTTAGGAGTCCCCATAATTGACAAATCCAGTATTTTTTGCCTCTATTGTTGAATGGTTTGTCACGGTCACACTGAGTGACTGCACACTGCGGCACCAGCTAAAAAAAGCAGCAAATGCAAATATGATTTTATAACACACATTCATCCGCACTGGACATCTGGAAACTGAACTATCGACCCGCCCAAGGCACACGCCCTGCAAAGAGAAACAGTGGCTAGATAAGCACCATGGCCAAGGCGAACGGATGGAATGGCTGCGGAATGGGCATGCAGGTCAACGGGAGCAACGGCTCCATATGCTCCTCCTCTAAGTACTCGCGCAGCACGGAACTGCGACGCGTCGAGGACAACGACATTTACCGGCTGGCCAAGATCCTGGACGAGAACGCCTGCTGGCGCAAGCTCATGTCGATCATACCGAAGGGCATGGACGTTCAGGCCTGCAGCGCCGAAGGAGGCCTGAACTTTCCGGCGGCCGTGAAGAAAGGATTGAAGTACACGTCGCAGGACGTGTTCCAGATTGATGAGGCGGCGAAAAGGCTGCCGCCCGACCAGAGCAAATCACAGATGATGATCGACGAGTGGAAGACCTCGGGCAAGCTTAACGAGCGTCCCACGGTGGGGGTGCTGCTCCAACTGCTGGTGCAGGCAGAGCTGTTCAGCGCCGCGGACTTTGTGGCACTGGATTTCTTGAATGGTGAGTCAGTACTTTATTTTGTTTAAGCAAAAACTGTATTCTTTGTCTGCCTCAGAATCTACCCCTGGTCGGCCGGCAGACGGCCCTGCAGCTCTCATTAGCCTGGAGCTGCTGGACGAGGACATGGAAGTGGACAACGAGGGCCTGAGTCCTAGCCACCAACCGAGCACTGCCACCCTTGAGCCGGCTGCTCAGGGCAGCGTTGGCTTGAACCTGGACATCTTTGACAAGCACATAGTGCCGCAGGACAAGAGTGTGCCGCAGGCATCTGGGGCTGCTCCTCCCGTAGCTCCACCTCGTCGCTTGCAAAGAGCAACTGCAAGCTCCAGCTCCCTCGCCTCCTCGGCTGCCTCTCCGAACATACCCAATTTGACAATTCTCAATCCCATCGAACAAATACAGGAGCAGCTGCAGCAGCCGCATCCGCGGAACATCCCCAATGAATCCATACTCATTGACAGCTCTGGCGATTCAGCAGCAACGGCGTCGACTTTGCTGTCCAACCCAAACAACCAAGCTATCTCCACGGAACCAGCAAACATACCGCGAATCACGCTTTTAATTAATGACTCTGCTGAGATAAGCTCGAGCGCAACTCATGGTGGAGCGAAAGCTGTGATGGATTCATCGCCCCCGGCGAACTTAAACAATTTGCCAATGATAAGCGCTTTGAACATAAGCAATGACAATGGGGAAACCTTGCAACCAGACAGCAGCAGCAACACCAGCAGTTTAAGCAACGATGATGAGGACGACGATAATGGAGTGGGGGAAGGAGAGTTTGCGGATACCTCCCTGCCAAACCTGAGCAACTTGGAGCAGCAGAACTCCAACAATGACTCCAGCCTGACAACGGTCACAGGAACCAGCGGTGATAACAGCTTCGAGATGACCAACGACTCCAGTTCGACCTCCAACGACGATTACGCTTGTAACATTCCGAACTTGAGTGAACTGCAGCAGCTGTAAGGAGCGACGCCCGTCTAAGGAGACCATTTCCACAAGCCAGACATTCCGTTAGCCACTTTAGGTTAAGTTTTCGTTGTACAACTCGCGTTATGTTCCGATATCGACATTTGGATTTCGGACCTACTTCAATTCTGCATAATGTGTAAGGTCCAATTAGAATCTAAGATTCAGGGCAAGCTTTCGACATACTATTTTTTCGTTGTCTATATCACGGCTACTGACACAGTCCATGACAAGTGCGGCAATATCCAATATTTCCGTTTCGAGAAAGCCATATGTATGTAACCAAATAACCAGTTCTTACCGATTTTGTATGTCTTACAAAATACTCTTTAATTTTCTAGTATAAATATACTTAAACAAAAAAGTGTTCAGTGAACCCGATTTTAAGGAATTGGGTAGACTGGTGTGTGTCTCCTGACAAATGATACCTAACTTACCTAAACATTGACATCAGAACCGTACACAAGTACCCCCTTTTTTTGGCAAACCTAAAACTCAACTTACCTCATTGAACTATTTGGACTAAGAAGTTGGTCTTGGGTATTTGGGTAAACTTTCACCCAGATCAAACCTTAATTACCTACGAGAAAATAATTTATTTAAGGGGTTATCCGGGTCTTGACACTTCAAAAAATTCATTTTTTTCAAACTTTTTAATATAATAGTACAAAGTTTCAGGAATGTTGTCTGAAAATTTCAAGTCGATCGAAGCAAAACTGTAGGAATGGGAGAAATTTAAAGCCCAGCGCGTCGAACGTCACAACGGGCAATTCGGGCTCTGGCGTCGGGCAGATGCGGCACTTTAAACGCGTTTTTCTCAAAACCACTTTTTTGAAGTCGGTAGTCACGATTTCTCAAAAACTATTGCACCGATAAAATTCTGCTTTTGCACACTTCTTTTAGACATAATTCTCTTGTCCTTAACGGAGGGTTTTTTAAATTTTTAATTACAACTCATTTTATAAGCCAAAATATGGCCAAAATATGGCCAAAATTTACGTAAAAAATTACACTTTTTATGAAAAGAGCTACAAAAAATTCAATTTTTAATTTAAAAAAAAAATGGCTCGTAGAGGACAGGCGAGACACATACACTATCAGAATAATTTTGGTTTTTTGATTTCAGATAAAAATTGACGGAGATATTTTGCCTACCGCAAGGACACAATTTTTTATGAGGTCAAGTTCAAGCCTGTCTCAACGGCTCAATTTTAAAAAATTTTGGTTAAAATTTTTACACTATGTTGGTCAAATCATAAACATTAATGTACAATAAATGAAATTTGTGAAATTGTCGTAAGATCTTTTAAAAAAATTCACGAAAATAGGCTTTTTTTCGTGCTCCAAGACCCGGATAACCCCTTAAGTAACCCTAACAACAAAAAGGCTAAGTTCAAGCCAAACAAAATCCGACTTTTAATTCAGGTTAATTGGCATATTTACGTTCGTCTACAAAAACTTGGGGAAAAAAACATTAAGGCTCCTGATTGAATCTGCGGTTGAACCAATATTTTTGTTTGGGAACAACATTATAGCCGACTTTCTAAGGCTTTTAAAAAACAATGCTAGAGCGATTTCATCCCAGCAGAAGCTAAAAAACTTTTCTATTTTTATAACCATTTTAGGTTGCTGTTATTCATTTTATTTATAAGAGTTACAGGAATTACAATAGAAAAAAATGAAATATTTAAAAAAAAATGTGTTTGTCCTTGCTTTTGAAATTTTTTGAACTTTTAATCATAAAGCAAAACATAATATTGATATACGTTTCCGGTTTTGCATTTCCAAATTAAACTAATTATATTTCATTTCTAGGAATTTGAACTCCTTATGTTGGATTTCTAGGATAAGATTCTAAAATAATTATATTTCTTAAAATGCGTCGGCCTTATTTTTCATGTTAACGACATTGGATACATGCTGTCGCTATAATAGAGCTGCAAATTAAAGTACAAATAGGCGTACATTTTTACATTAAGCCATCTGGCTTGTGTTTTATATTTTAAAATGGCATTCTAACTTTATGCGTTGACATCATTTTTAAATTTGATAGCTTGTAAATCGAAAGCGCGATTTCATCGGGGTTGTTTGAGAACATCGATGCTGGCAGGGGTAGTGCGCAATCGATAGTGCAATCGATGGTTTCTCAGCAGCTGCAACAACAACAGCACGGCACATCAAGAATAACAACAGCGGGCAAATATTTTATTGGGCACCTCGGGCAGCTTGTTTTCGTCAAATCCACCAAAATTATTCGCAACATGGACGAGTCGGAACTGCTATTTAATCTCTTCTACTTCCTGCTGTGCATGGTTATTATCTACCCCCCGGAAGAGTTCCAGCGTCTGGGCTTCACTATTGAGCAGTTGTTCGCTCGGTTTCTGGGCGAGGAATACCTAGACTTTGTGGGATACCACCTGCGTCGCACCTCCCTGAACCTCTTCGTGCACTCCTGCCTGCCGTTCTCCTACTTTCTCATCCACAGGCTCAAGTTCTCCGTCTTCGCCACCCAGGAGCCTCTGGAGGATTCCGATCTTGACCCAGATTTCCCGATGCCCCAGGAGGCGGTGGCGTTCAAAACGCTTACGTGGAAGACCGCTCAGCGGTTTAGCGTGCTGGCCGTTCTGGCCGTGCCCGCCCTCATCTTCAACTGGCATCAGCAGAACTGGCGCCGCCACCCGATATGCAAGACCCTCTCCAAGTACTCCAACTCGCCGGGCAGCTATAGTGCCGTGGCCAGCGACATTGGCACCGAGTTCCGGCGGCCAGAAATTTACAAAAAGAAGTTGAACTCTATCAGCACTGTGATTGCCACGCAGAACTGGATAATCAAGACCACTATGTACAACGTCCATTTCGCTCATCAGAGCAACACATCCCTCAGCGTGGCTAAGGTCAGTTAAGCACGGTTCTCCGATCGGTGGATAAATAAAATATCTTCTTTGCAGGCGGAGACCTACAATATATCTCATCACGACCAGAACGACACTCTGCAGATGATCAGCATTATTGTGCGACCAATGCGACAGGGCGTAAGCGACTTTCACATACGAATTAACGCCTTGGAGTTTAGGAACCTAGAGGACCGTGTCCGGCGACCCATCTCCATTCCCTCCAACATCCAGTTTCACCGCAATGTCATCGACCGTTTTGTGGACGTGTTCAAGTCGCAAGTCGCTTTAAACCCCATCTTTCTGGCGGAAGCCTCTACGGATAAGTGTTTTGCCTGCATGCTGAACGAACCAAACACCAAGATCCACAAACAGTGTGCCGACTTGGATCGCAATGGCGCTCCCCTTGCCGAAGGAGCGTGCTGCTCCAACTGCTACTGCCGCCCCATGTGGTGCGTGGAGTGCCTTGCGCGGTGGTTCGCCGCTCGCCAAACCGACGTGGACCGCGAGGTGTGGCTGGAGCAAAAGTGCACTTGCCCCATGTGTCGGGCCAAGTTTTGTGTGCTCGATGTCAGCTACATCAGACCACCAGTCGACATAAGAGCCCCATCCCAGTATCGCGGAGCCGATCACGAGGCTGACGATACCACGTGATTGACGACTGTTAAAGTAACAATTAAACGACTCTTAAATCGAACGTGGTTCTTTATTGGTCTGATTTAAATATTCACTAAAGTTAGGCGTACATTTTCTATAGCTATATATTTTAAATTATGCATATTAATTAGTGCAATTATCACGTTTTAATACTTTAAAAATCTAAGCAATCTTAATTTTACTTACGTACAATTGATCTAAGCATAGAGAGAGAAAGTTATCATGTGCGAAATAAGCCTTACTAAACATTAAATCAAGGTTAATCAAACCGCGCGAAGTGCATTCGTCTTCCCTGCACTGCATAGCCCCAAGTAGTTCGATAAGTCCTCTGTGTTCCCCTCCTTTCTCTTTCTCATCCTCTCAATCTGATAAAATAAAGCGTCATGCTAAGTTATATACATATGCATGATAATTGTGTACATTATAAGGAAAGTACGTATTCATACAGCCGTGTGCTTGACAAGGCGCCATTATCTATAAATTCGTCTCGTAAAAACTTTTATAGCTCTCCGCTTGGTCACGTTGACTTCTCGCCTGGGTGCCTGGTGTCGTCATCGATCCTGCCGTTGCTACGGCGGCGGACTTGGACAAGCCGCTGGAAGGAGTTCGGCTCGAGACCTAAAACAAAAGAGTTTTCTACTAGTTATAGTCAATAATTTAATATGAAAAAAATGCATTTTTATTTCTGAAATAAATATTATATGCAAGTTATGATTTTCTATCCGGCAGATAGGCAAACCTATTTCCTACTTCAAGAATTACCCCCTTGTTCCCCTTTGTTTCCATCACCATAAATAAAACAGCAACGTCAAGTTCAATGCTCAGACGACACTAACTCTGCAACAAAGTAATCGATCGTTTGGCAACTGAATTTACGTTGCGCCATTTGATCAGCAAACGAGAAAGAAAGCTAGCTTCATTTAACAAAGTTATATATCCTTAAGTTTATAAAAAAATTTGAGAGTCAAAATTGAGAGTCAATTGGCCATTTCATTCCAAAGAAAGCTACAGTACAATTGGTCTAGTCGGTCGTAAAATCTTATCGGACATTTTTCGATTTATATAGACACGAACGAAATCAGAATACGTAAAGCAATTTCGGGCATTTTATATTTTACGTCCGCATTATGTAATATTACAAAAGGTTGAAAGGCATTCGACATAAATTATTCATGATAAATATTAAATATCTGGTTAATGCTCTCAATATTTTAACTTATAATAAATTCGTTCCAATATTCCTTCCGTAAGAAAAATTTTTTTAAATTTGTAGAACAAATTTACCGATTTAAGGCAGGCTTGGTCTTCTCATATTCATTTCCTTTCCCTTTTTAATATGACTCCTGGGTGTCTTTGTTGATATTATATGTATATACATATATTTCAAAATAATGGCGAATTTCGGACACAATTCTCTCTGGAGTCGCCCTCGTCATCCCGTGAAGTAAAAGTTTTCTAGAAAGGTGGGTTTGTCGGTCGTGTCAGGCTTACATTAAGGTTAACATATAAATATACATACGTATGAAGTGATAAACGTATAGTACATATATCGATATTGCTTTTGTTTACATATTGTTTTTCGGTTCGCCGTTTTGTTGTTTTTTTGGTCCTTGGAAGAACGAAAAAAACAAAATGAGAGTTCTACGTTTTTAAATTCGCTTTATGGGTTTTTATGAGGTTTATTGCCTGTTTTACAATTATACAACTCTTTTAAGATAAGTTCATTTTGAATACGACGGAGTTAGGTTTACTACGTCTTTTCAAAAGCGTTCGTTTGGGTGAACATTTTTAATTTCGCAATTTTCAAACCAAAACGTTTAAAATATCAAAACGCTAAAAAGTCCCTTTACAATCTAATCTTATCATCACTGAGGTTTTCTTTACATATGTATAAATCTTTGCAATAATTCTCATCAAAAGGCAAATATTAGTGTTTTGACTGGGATATCACACATAAGGTTAAAGGAATAAGTAGTAACAAGGATTCTGATTTGTAAGAGCTTCAATATAATATAATAAAAATATTTTAGTCTCATAAATACTATCTGTACAAAATTAAAAAAAATGTTAACAAATGTATCCTGATTATCCAGAGGAAATATCTATCTACCGCCCTGACTTCCTGCCCGATTCTTAATATTATATATTTCTGTACAAGTGTTTTCCGTGCCCCTGAAGTGACAATAAGCTAAACAATATCGCACCTATAAATATGTACACACATATGTATGTATTAATTTTTACTGACACCCAGTATCATTTGTATACACAAGCACGAATCTTAAAAATTCTCCGATGCACTTGAAAGTAGGATAACTCTGGCCCTATCACAACTTCCGTTTCGTAAACAAGCACTTCCGCTCTTCCCGCAGATTCCTGGGATAGATTTCTTACTTTTCGTCGTAACTGACGACACACTGCGGTGTTTAACGCACCAACTAACCAGAATTGGTGTCGATTAGCTATCGCAGATAGCTCACAGAAATCACCCACAAATCACGAACCCCATTCGCAACATGGGCTGCTCACTTGGTATTTGTTAGATATGGGGTGTACTGGTACGATAATGAAAGTGCTAAAGCTGGGCCGCACCTTTTCGCTGTCCTTCGGGGATCCTGCGTCGAAGAGCTTGCCGTCGACGGCATCCCGCTTCTTGTTCTTCGACCGGAAGCGCCCAGACCGGGAAATGGAGAAGTTGCGCCACTGGTGGCCGTACTCGCACCGCTTCTCCTCCTCGCTGAGCACACTGTCCAGGTAGTGGATCGTCGGCTCGTGGGCGGCTGTCATAGTGTTGCTCATGATTCCAAAAGATAGTGAATCGATTGGTACGGATACGACCTCTGCTCTTATTTTTGGTCGTTGTGGCTGGAGCTGGTGTTTCCGATATGGCTGTTGTGATAACGTCGAGCACAGGGCGATAGCCGAACTCGCACTTCCACCGGCACAGATGTCTTTTGTTTTTGTTGTTGTTTCTGTTTTTGTTTTTGTTTTTGTTTTGACTGCGTTCGTGGCGGGCCAGGGCCAAACCGAATCCAATGCCGCCGCTCGTGGTTCCCGTGGAGCGTGTGGTCTGCGACTGCGGCCAAGTTCCCGGTGCTGCTGCTACCAACAAACAAAATGACAGCCAGCAACCAACCACTCGACGCCGGCGTTAAGTTGACGCCGACTCCAGCGACTGCAGCGCTTCGTCTTCGACTTCGTCACAAAGAACCAACGCAGCCCGTTGGAGTCGAGGAGGCGAAGAGGGAAGCCAGTGAAAACTCTGCGCCGCCAGCTCCAGACCGTGTGACTTTGCTCCTGAAGGCCCAAACAGGTGAACCAGGCCCACACAACCGCAACCGCCGAGCACACCTACACATACATATACACATGTATGTAAGTATTACCACCAGTGTTGACCGAATCCACCTATTTATGAGAATTTCTTTTTTATTCACAATATGGTAGATTAAAAAAAATAAGGTAATAATTAACGGTGGAAATAAGGTGGACCGCTGAAATCACTAAGATAAATTTTGAAATCAATCCAAAAATATATTCAGAAATATAAAACTGAAATGCAGCGAATAAGTTGAAATTGTTCTATGGTAAAAATAATATATTTCCATTGAAAATGAAACTTTTTTTTTTAAATGTTTATTTTACATAAAGAGGATTATTAATAAAAAATGTGTTAATTAATTGAGTTTTATATAATTTTGTTATAATTACATATAATTTTGTTCTGGAGGTGTGTAAACATGGTTAGCTTTTAACTCCATTATTGCTTAAAACAGCTTACATTTACAGATTTCATCATAGTTACAACTTTTATATTGTTTTCGGGACTAAAATTAGTTTTACTTTGAAGGTATGAACACATATTTGGCGCTTGTGATACATTTCAAAAGAATAACCATGCAGACAACTTTATAAAATAAATTTTCAAAGTCGTATCCTTTTTAAATAAAAATAAATTTATAATACAATTATCTCGCAGCCAGTTTAAAACAACACAAGACAATATTAAAATTACTTAAAGTCACCGCAATATGTACTGTTATTTAAATTCCTACTGCCAAACTTCAATTAATCAGTAAACAAAATGTTGTTTACGAACACGAGGCTTTTGAAAGAACCGTTTGAAAATGTTTCTTAGTTATGAGGGCAAACCATTTCTTAAAAATTAGCTGACCGATTTATGGCCAAAAGCTAAGGCGGCATCACAAGTCACCGGTATTATAGTTCCGCCTGTGTATGTAAAGAGTAAGCGTTGTGTATTGGCTTATTCCAACTTGTACCAACTTCGTGAACTTTTTCAATACCCTGACCAATATTTAAACTGACTACACAGATAAGTCTGACAAAATTCATAAATAATTTTTAAATTTTCTAACATTAACAAAATTTAAAGTAAAACTTCATTGAACTAAGTAACTGGTTTCTCCAGTTTAATTAAAACCGTGTTTCGCGCTTTTGTTTTGACAAATTTAACAGCTCCCTTAAAGGGCATCGGAAAGTCATTACTGCGGAGTGTTGATCGTTCATCGTATTTTAGCGTATCTCCCAAATGCACACACGTATCTTACGTTATACCTATAGCTATACCTGTGCTCCCGATGATAAGCGCAAATAGACAAAACAAACACACAACCTGCTAACAATTATAAATGATTAGATCGCTTTTTGGAGCATTCGCTTGAGACAGTTCTTTAACAGTATATTTTGTCTCTGCTGTATAGGCACCAAACTGAAAACTGTTCAACATAATGATTCTTTGGATCGTTAAAAGCCAAGTCAATGTAAGCTTTGAGATGTACATATATGTATGAATCAGGGACTGCTCGAATGCAAATAAAGACACCTTTAGGTAAAATATAAGCTTTATTGTCAGGCGGTCAGTCATTTTCGCAGTGACTCAGCAACGCAAGACTTACTAGTAGCCAGTAAACGCATTATTTACACTTTCTTGCTTCTGTTCCTTTGGGGCTAACATCATCAAACTAACCCGACGAAAAATGATTCGGATGGCTTTTATCTAATCTGTCATCCTAATCACAAACGTCCAAAAGCGCAGAGAAAGTGCAGTATTTTGGGCCCGAGAGTACAAATAATTTGGAAACTACAGTGTGTTCATGGTTATAACTCACCCCCAGTAGAGGGTTTTGCTTTTATTTACAGAGGCAACTTCTTAATTTACAAAAAGGGAAACGTATAAATTCAAGAGTGTGGAAGCATATACACATATAAATCCATTATATACTATATCGATATTATATCTAAGCAAGGACATGGCGGATTTTGGTTGAATTGTTAACAAAATAATTGCCAATTGTAGTTGGCGTCTAGTTTCAATATACATTTATTTTCCGGCCATACACATAGTGTATTTAACAATAAATTTAGCTTGGTTACTTGCAAACAGTTGCCAGCTTTCAGCCTCCCAAAGTCAATTTAGTGGGCTTGTGTTGTGTCCTTGCAAGTGTGAGAGGTAAAACAATTAACTTAAAACAATCGATAACTCGTAGAAAACAGTTGGCCCTATAAATTGGATCTGATACCAATTCCTTCTAGACAACGCTTCCGCCACTGTCCCCGCGTGGGCGAGTAATTACTGCATCCATACGCTGTGCCGGGGGCACTGGTCGCTGCTGAGGCTGCGGCTGCGGATCCGGTCGTGCTGCGCCTGCGGGGTTATTATTGTTGCGATGCATAAAGTTGCGTATGTTCTCCTCCGTGTAGTCGACGATTCTACGCTTCTTACGGCGGCCGTATTGTTTCTGCTTCAGGTAAATCTTTAGGATTCCCTTTACCGTTATAAAGGTGAGACCGCCGAGCAGAGTGCGATGCAAGGTATTGTCCACGGAGTCAAAGAGAATTCGTCCCACGATCGACGATATGGTGGGCAGCAGAAGGGCCCCACAGAAAACCCGCGTGGCCGACACGGTGTCGGACAGAGCCGGGGTGGCCGGATTGCTGGTGCTTTGCTGGTCATCGTCCTGGTTTCTGTTTCAGATAAAATATATAAATGGTGATATTCTGGAAGGGGTGTATGCACATACAGGTTTGGATAAATGAGGCTCACAAACGGAAACTTCCGCACCACAGTCCCACGGTTTCGAATCAGACGCAACAGGGCATCCTCCCAGCGAATCAGACGACCAAGCACCAGCCCTACAGGGATCGCTGGTAGCCCGATGAGCAAAACGAGCGGATCACCGGCCTCCATTATGGACATGCCGTGCTCATGGCCCACGATCTATCAATAAAGGGTTTGATTAGCAAGGCAACTAGTTGGTTATTCATAGCGTCTTACCTGTAAGAATGTCACCGCTCCGTATGTGACAGCTGTCCAGTATAGAGACCCCACGAAGAAGCCAGCCGCCAGGAAGGGACTCAGGCGCTTGATGAGATTGTCCATCGCCTCCAGGGCGCCTCCGAACTTGCCCATCTGCGGGAACACAATGATATACTCCGTCTGGCACTGCGGACAGGACACGGAGCGCAAGGCGTTGCCCTTCTGAGTCTTTTCGTCGATCCAGCGGTAGAGGCAGCTCTGGTGCACCCATTTGGTGGTACCACGGCACTGGCAGGGCTTCACCCACGCCGCCAGGCGGTTGTCCTCGTCAGTGGCGAAGCAGATCCAGCAGCACCGCTCCGTCTCCGACCCATCCCCGCCCACCTGCACTGTGGTGGACGAGGAGGCATTTGCGGCTGCTTTATCCGCTGGAGCAGGTGGCACTGTCAGAGTTGGGTGATCCTCTCCTGGTGCAGCTGCAGGTGCCGCATTGTCTGCGGAGGGCACTGCAGCTTCGTCGGCCATTTGGCTGAAATTGTCACACCATTGACTATTTATGTTAATCGGCTGACCCTTCGGCCCTACATACTTTGTTTTTGATCCGTTTTCTGTGCGTTGCTTCGGCCTTTTTTCGACTGAGGTTTTTGCTTTCACTTCTGTACTGAGCGCATATTAACTTTATTTTTATTTGTTCTGGCTCAACGAAAATAAAACGAAACTAAAATAATCTGATATATTCCGCAGAGAACATTCGATGATTTTTTGGTGGGACCAGATCCCAGTTGGTATACTCTGCTGCGCGTTCAGACTTTCGATATCATCGCGTCAGAAATTATATTTGTGGGGGGGTTTCCTTAATCTGTTTCTGATTAAGGGAACTCTTGGGAAGTGACTAGATTTTTTAAATACGTAGACTGGTCGTCCCAAAAAAAAACCCAACAAATCGTAGGGGGAGCGCAATCCTTTGTCGATTATAAGCAATACTGGCAAGAAACTAATGGTATAAACTATCGTTTGACCGTTCAAATTTTCAAAAGAAAATACTTGTTTTTGCGAAAAAATATCATAGTAGTCATGCAATGTTTTGAACCATAAAAACGTAATATAACGCAGTTATAATCCATTCTAGAAAAAACTAAGTGTCTTAAATCACGGTTGACCTCCGCATTTGTAAAATACAAATACTGGTTTTAAAGAAAAAAGGGATAAATTGTTAACGAAATACGTTTAAAGCAAATAGTTTATGCCTGGTAATTTTTTTGAGGTTCTTTTCTTTTACGCTGTTAAAATTTATTTTTTTTAAGACCGTCTGCGACTAATTGACCAAGTCCTTAATACCTTCTAATACCTTTAAGGTACTTTTAACAGTTTTAACTTTTAACAGTTTTTTGATTAACTCAATAACTTAAAAATCCGAATTTTTTTCAGTGGCTAAACACACGTAAGTTATAAAATTTACAAATATTTGATATGGGTCATTATTTCACGCGGATCTAAGAAAAAAACGCATCTGTGTTAATTCAAAGCAAAAACTTCTGATATCAAACATAACACATTCTTGATCAGTATCCAGTATCACTAGGAGAGTCGAATTAGCCATGCCCGCCTGTCCGTCCGTCCGTCCGTCCGTTTTGACACAAACTATTCCCTCAGTTTTAAAGCTACATATTTACTTGAAACTCTACCAAAAGTTGTCTTTCTATTGCAGGTAGTACATATGTAAGTACTACCACTAACCATACAACATATGTACATATGTATGTACTTCGGCAAGCCGAAGTTTATATAGCCTTGCAAATATGTATTACAAATCGACGACAATGAAGCTGTGTCTACTTTGAGCTGCATTTTGCCATCGTTTCTATTAAAGCTATATGATATTGTTATCCGATTTTAATTCCATAATATTTAAATATTAACAAATCCCAAAGAACAAAAAAAAAATTAACAAGAAAGGAAAGCTAACTTCGGGCGGAGCCGAAGTTGATATACCCTTGCAGAATACTCTGTAAATTATATTTTCCAAAATTATTCATATGATGCATTCTTAATACTCATAAAAAATCCCAACTTCGTAACTTTAAAAACACCAAAGTTATGGCATTTCCGATCAATCAGTTATATGGCAGCTATAGGATATAGTCGGTCGATCCTTATGAAGTTTGGTAGGTCGGATTGATTGGCCAAAAATAAAACCCATAGAAAATCCCAACTTCCTAACTTTACAAACACCAAAGTTATGGCATTTCCGATCAATCAGTTATATGGAAGCTATAGGATATAGTCGGCCGATCTTTATAAAATTTGGTACGTCAAATTGAATGGCCAAATACAAAACACATAGAAAATCCCAACTTCCTAACTTTACAAACACCAAAGTTGTGGCATTTCCGATCGTTCAGTTATATGGCAGCTATAGGATATAGTCGGCCGATCCCGGCCGTTCCGACTTATATACTGCGTGCAAAGGAAAGAAGGGTGTGTGCAAAGTTTCAATTCGATAGCTTTAAAACTGAGAGACTAGTTTGCGTAGAAACAGACAGACGGACAGACGGACAGACGGACAGACAGACGGACAGACGGACAGACGGACAGACGGACATGGCTATATCAACTCAGGAGGTGATCCTGATCAAGAATATATATACTTTATAGGGTCGGAGATGTCTCCTTCACTGCGTTGCACACTTTTGACCAAAATTATAATACCCTCTGCAAGGGTATAAAAACAAGAAAGGAAACAAGCTTCGGCAAGCCGAAGTTTATATACCCTTGCAGTTGTCACAAATCTACTACATTTAGATTTCTATGCCTATATTACTAAAACAATGAAGCTATGTCGATTTCGCGCTGCATTTTGCCATCGTTTCTATGGCAGCTAAACCGTAATTCCATAATATTTTAATATTAACTAACCCAAAGAAAAAAAAAATAATTAAAAACAACAAAGTTTTAATTTTTGTTAATTTTTTTTTTCTGATTGTTCCTATGGGAGCTATATGATAAAGTCGCCCGATCCGCCTCCTTCCGACTTATTAATACCTGCAATAGAAAGACAACTTTTGGGAAAGTTTCAAGCAGATGGCTTTAAAACTGAGGGACTAGTTTGAGTAGAAACGGACGGATGGACAGACGGACATGGCTAGATCGACTCTCCTGGTGATCAGATCAAGAACATTTATACTTTATAGGGTCGGATATGTCTCCTTTACTGCGTTGCAAACTTTTGTCTGAAATTATAATACCGTCTGCAAGGGTATAACAATAATAACTTTGTAGTTTTAAATTTTTTTTCTTTTTTGGGATTTGGTAATATTTTATTACTATGGAATTACAGTTTACATTAAAATAAAAGCGGACATCTATATCATATAGCTTCCATAGAAAGATCAAAAAATTAAAAAACAAGAAAGGAAAGCTAACTTCGGGCGGAGCCGAAGTTGATATACCCTTGCAGAATACTCTGTAAATTATATTCTCCAAAATTATTCATATGATGCATTCTTAATACTCATAAAAAATCCCAACTTCCTAACTTTAAACACACCAAAGTTATGGCATTTCCAATCGTTCAGCTATATGGCAGCTATAGGATATAGTCGACCGATCCTTATGAAATTTGGTAGGTCGGATTGATTGGCTAAAAATAAAACCCATAGAAAATCCCAACTTCCTAACTTTACAAACACCAAAGTTATGGTATTTCCGATCAATCAGTTATATGGCAGCTATAGGATATAGTCGGCCGATCCCGTTCCGACATATATACTGCTTGCAAAGGAAATAAGAGTGTGTGCAAAGTTTGAACTCGATAGCTTTAAAACTGAGAGACTAGTTTGCGTAGAAACAGACAGACGGACAGACAGACGGACATGGCTATATCAACTCAGGAGGTGATCCTGATCAAGAATATATATACTTTATAGGATCGGAGATGTCTCCTTCACTGCGTTGCACACTTTTGACCAAAATTATAATACCCTCTGCAAGGGTATAAAAAGGAAAAAATATTTTTATTTTGCTGTTATTCTATTTATTAAAATATTTCTTTAACTATAATAAATTTTTAAATCGGACAACAATATCATATAGCTGCCATAGAAACGATGACAAAATGCAGCGCATTCGACTTAGCTTCATTGTTTTTAATAATATAGGCATAGAAATCGAAATGTAGTCGTTTTGTAATAACTGCAAGGGTATACATATATAATTCCGCTTCCCGAAGTTTGCTTCCATTCTTGTTTGAATTAGTTTCAAGATTTACTAATAATAGGAGTAACAAGAACGACCTGCGCCCTTATATTGTTTGTGATCAATTAATAAATAATCAGATGCTGTTTTTTATAGTTCTAACAAATAAGTTTTAACCGAAAGCATTAATAAATAGCATTGCTAATAAAAATATTTTATACTTAAAAAATAAGAAATGTTTATGGTAAAATATTTTACTATATTTCCAAAAGCGAAATGTTTCTGACAAAATATTTCACTGGATTTTCCAAAAGATTCGCGAATGAAAAATGTATTTCCAAAAAGAAATGTAAAACTTTTTTGCGTAGAAACGGACACTGACGGCCGGAATTTACTACCTAACTGCAATTCCAAACTTTCGACCGAAACTGTAATTCCTTCTAAAAGAATATAAAAAGTTTTCATTTCAACTGTTGATAAAAAAACGTACTTTGTTGTTTATAAATGGCCTATTTCATGTTTAAATTATAATAAAATCACACACCTTTTTGGTTGCAAACGTTCAATAATAAAGCACGTTTTTGGTCATTGTGAAATACATGTTTGTATAATTTCCATCTGAAACACTGTGGAATCTACATTGCATTTATCGCGACTATACGCTTATGTTAAATAATTATGCATACAGTACATTAAAATTATAACAAGAATAGCCCGGTGATTTCGTGGTGAAGAACTTCGTTGACAAAGAGCGATCGAAAAGAGCGGGGGCCACGAGAGCCTTCTTTCGCTGTGCACCCGCCAAAGAACTCTAGTTGATGTTAGTCCAGCTCGTTATTTACGTTTTGACGTCTCTGAGGCGTACCCTGATCCTCTGCGTCCTCTTCATCGAAGCCCGCCATCAGGCGATTGAATATGTCCCCAAACATTCCCCCCAGTCCTGGTGGCCCTGCATGAGCAGTTTCCGGCTGTTCGTCGAAATAGATTACTCCGATCTTGGCCACGTACTTTAGAAATGATGTGTCGCGCTTCAACGATGGGTCGTAAAGCTTACGCAGTGCCCGAAACCCAGCCACACGCTTCGCGTCGATGAGGCGAAACAGGAAGTACAGGAAATTAACCAACGGCTCCTTGAAAGGGAATTCATGCCTGAGCAGCTTGGCATGGTAGCGAGTGTACTCGGTGAACGTTTCCTCGGCTGTCTTGCGGTCCTTGAGCGAGAGCTGCTGCAGCACTGCCTGCACCAGGAACAGATCCACCTCGCCCTGGAAGCCCCTGCTCTGGCTGATCTCGATCAGCACACGCCCGCAGAGGCTGCCGTCCTGGCAGAGCAGATAGTGGTGGCGAGCGGACTCAATGTTGCCTTCGGTCCAGAAAACGTGCGCAATCAACTTGTGCAGCACCGGGTGACCGTACTGTCCGTGCAGGGCAGTGCTCCACTTAATAGTCCGTTGCTGGAAGAGAACAAGTATACAAGTAATGCGACACGTCGCGATTGGAAACGTCAGTAACTCACAATCAAGGTTTCGCGCTCCACTGTTGCGGCGTTGAGGCCACGAATCAAGGCTCCCAGGCGTGGCACCCATAGAAAGTTGTCGGTGTCCTCGGCCTGCGGTCCACGCTTCTCCAACGTGTCCACCAGCAGGAGGCAAAGGTCCGCCGCACTGCTCTCCTGCTCCTTGGCAATCAGCTGCTGTGCTCCGTCAAAGAGCAGATCCAGGCAGTCCTGGTAGCGCTTCTGCGCTGTGTACCTAACCAAAAGCATAAGACATTAGTACACACTATGTCACCGATATCTGTAGGAATACGGTACCGAAAGTACAGAGTCCTGTACATCATGTGCGCCTCGTAGAACTCGCCTCCAGCCAAAGATTGCGACAACTTGGCAAGAACGCGGCTGACTCCGCGTTGCCCAGAGGACACCGCACTGCCGCTGGCGACTGCACTTGTCTCGGCGGCGGCCATTTGACCTGTTTGCTCTGTTGATTTCTACGCTTCAAAGCGACCTTCCCGACGATTTGGAAGCCTAATTTTATAATTTTTTTATATTTACATATACACACATTCCGATAACTGGACTATCGGAAACGATTATGCGCTGATATGGTCTTTACACAGGTGCTTAAAATCGCAACATCGGAGTGATCGCACCCCAGCTATTGCAAAATCAGCTGATTCTCCGAGGAAAGTTATACATCATTAAAGTTATCAATCTTTTGTACTGTCATTATTTTTTGGCTGCAAAGTATTTACCTAATGTTACATTAAAACCACTTCAAGCTACTGTTGAGTGCCACCTCTATAAAATAGATACTCGTCACGCAGAGTGCGCCACTTGTAAGACAACATTTCGCTGTGGCGTCATAGAACCTGATGGCGAAGTCATCTGGTTACCAAATAAAGGAAACATATAGTGAGCAAGTTTGGTTTCCAATTTGTTGTTGCGGTGCAGCACATTTCCCAATTGTGATTTCCGAGCGCTGTTGCTGTTGCGGCCCTCGTGTGAACAGACCCAAGTATGTACGTAAACTGTGAATGACCTGTAAGTGAAGAAGAAGAACTCGAAGTAAAAGCAGCTGAGAGTTGCAGCAGTTTGTGTAGCAATTTTTAAACTGCCCAAACAAATGGACAGTGATCCGAAGGAGAGCGGTTCCGGTGCCGGAGAGAAGGGGCCCGACCCTGCTGACGGCAGTATCGCCGCCCCCAACAGCTTTGCCCCCAACCGCTGGGTCAAGCTGAATGTGGGTGGTCAGATATACGCCACGACCATCGACACTCTGGTGGGCAGGGAACCAGACTCGATGCTGGCGCGGATGTTCCTGCAAGATGGCAGCATGATGCCCAGCGAGCGGGACGAGCAGGGAGCATTCCTGATTGATCGGAGCCCTCGATACTTCGAGCCGATCATCAACTATCTGCGCCACGGCCAGTTCGTTTGCGATTCCAACATCAGCATACTAGGCGTCCTAGAGGAGGCACGATTCTTTGGCATCTTCTCGCTGGTCACGCACTTGGAGGAGCGCCTGGGACAGCAGGAGGCGCCGCTGGGAGACAGGCCACTGACGCGAAACGACGTCATTAAGGCCATCATCCAGACCTCCGTGATTACGGAGTTGCGTTTTCAGGGCGTCAACCTTTCCGGGGCCGATTTGCGAAAGCTAGACTTCCGCAACATCAACTTCAAGGTATGTGTTGTCGGCACCTTTGCAAGGTACAGCTGCGATCATGAAAATATAAGTTCCCTCTTTCCCTTACAATTTAAAGGATTCGTTCAGTTGTAAACTTTTATGTCTAATTAATACTTTATACAAAAAATTCGAAACGTTCTAAGAGGTAATTATATTGCTCAATATTCCCCCAATCTATGATTACCCTATGTTACGACTACTGGTTAAAAAACATTTATTTCAAATTGAAAACTAATAAGATTTTGTGGGTCAAACAAACTTTTTAGATCATATTTTCTAGATTGTGAACTAAGCTAAGTATTATTTGCAACATGGACCATATTAATAGCAAGTCCGTCCAAGTTACCGACAGAAAGTCGGCAATACGGGATGCATATTGACTTCATTGTAGACTCAAAAAAAAGTTTTAAAATATATCTTTATTAATATTATAGCTGGTTCCTTGCCTCGTTAGTATTCTGGAATATTAATGTTTATAAGCTTTGCCTTAGAAAAAATTAAGATCCGACTAAAATGGACCTTAGTAAAAAAATGTTATCCTACATACATTAAATAAGTAGGATCACAAAGCTAGTCAAATATAATTAGATGGACACTTTCTTTAGAGCCGATTATAAAAAATAATACTTATTGCCTAAGACTGTGTACTGCTGTGGTCTGGCTCTATAATAATTATTTTATCTTATATATGTCCGTCAGTTAATTTTTTTCTAGCTGAAAGCCCATTTTATCTTTAACCATATTAAGGCCCGTTTTCTCGTCCGCATGGAATGAATATATGATAAAGATGCTCGATTTTAATTTAATTAAAACTTAATTCTGGAGTATTTATATATTAACAAATCCCAAAGAATAAAAAGAATTAAAAACAACAAAGTTATACTTTTTTAGCAGATAGTTTAAAACTGACGGGATAGTTTGCGTAGAAACGGACAGAAGGCGGACATGGCTAAATCGACTCTCCTGGTGATGCTTATCAAGAATATATATACACTGCGTTCCAAACTTTTGACTAAAATTATAATACCCCTACAAAGCTATAAAAACGCATCTGACTTTTTTAGTTATAGGGAAAAAGCACAAATCTTTTTAATAACGTGTAACTTTTACTTCACTCCACAGTACGCAAATATGTCGCACTGCAATTTGTCCCACACCAATCTTAACTATTGCTGCTTGGAAAGGGCCGATCTTCAGTTTGCGAATCTAGAGTGTGCCCAGCTTGTTTCAGTGCGAGGACTTTGCGCTAATATGGTATGAATCTAGTGTAGAACAAGCCCGTACACTCTGAATCTAAACTAATCCGCATAATCTTTCAGGAAGGTGCAAATCTGCGAGGGTGTAATTTCGAGGATCCCACAGGTGTCTGTTCAAACCAAAACCAAAAAATTACTTTTTGCTATTATCTTTCAGTTCTCTCAAATTACTTTCTGTATTTATCATTTTGGAGGAGATCCCTATGCTCCTTTTGGCACCAAAGAATTAAAACACTAGTTTACAGCTGAAATAGTCCGATGCCGCTGCAAGCAATTTTTGTTAAGGTCTCTTTACAGTTTCATTTTATTTCATAAAATTAGATAAATAACAATTTTTAAAATTTTAGAAAATGAAAAAAAAATTGACCCTTACGGCTGTAAACTAGTAAACATAACAGATTTCTGTCATGTAGTACTGAAGTTGAAAATGTATAATGTAGACTTTAATGTAAAAGAATGTTAAATAATATTCTGTTAAAAATAGGTGTCCGAACCAACCTAGAAGGCGTAAATCTCAAGGGAGCCTGTTTGGAAAGCAGCAACATGGCTGGCGTTAACTTGCGTGTGGCAAATTTGAAGAACGCAAATATGAAAAACTGCAATTTGCGGGCTGCAGGTAGCAAAAACGAATTCTTGAAATTTTATTTAATCTAACAGATTTTAAAATACATATTTACAGTATTAGCTGGAGCAGATCTGGAAAAGTGTAATCTTTCAGGAAGCGATTTGCAGGAGGCGAATTTACGTGGAGCAAATTTAAAGGACGCAGAGTTAACCCTCATTATAAATGCCTTGCACATGTCGCAGGCCATACGATAATTGCGTCGTTTTTATGATGTGGACCTTATCTTGTGCAATTTACATATCACATCAGCTCCAAACGATTATTACCAATTAATTTTAGAATAATGAATGTAAATACTTTTGGTTTTAACCATAGTCCTTAAAATAAACAGTATTAGGGTTGTATTTCTAAATTGAAAATATTTTTGAAGTTATATGACAAGCGGATCTGAAACTTATGATGAAGAGCACTTTACACCTATTAGACCCTAGGACTTGGGTCTTTTTTTAGGAAGTCGACCATAGTTACAGTGATCCATGACATAAACACCGCTCCATACCCACCTCTAGAAAGGTCCCACTAAACAGCCTGATGCGGAGCAAATCTAACATTTTTTTATAGGATGATACATATGCTTCCAAATCCACGGAGGCCCTCTAGGAGTATTTGTATTTGCGCGTTGGTCGTAGGAGAATAATCCTGTTTATGGTATACCAGTTTATCGGATAAATGTATGCGATAAAATTTAATTAAATTCAATTCGAGTTCAAATTAAAACCCCAAATAAAACCTATCTTACAAAATCCTCATATATTTGGAGAACTAGGGGTCGGTCACTAATAGTTATTATTATTACCAGCGGCTTGCCAACATAATTGTTTGCTTATACAATTTTAAAAATGAAAAATAATGTATATTACGCATTCTTATAATAATTTAAAATTATGTGGTGTTTCAGAAAAATTGAACACCACATTGCCGCATAATTCAAAATGAAAATAAGGATGCAACGATAACGATATACTCACCGATTGTAAATGAAACGATGTTTTTGGTATTTTCTGCACACACTTAAAGGCCCCACTTGTTATCTGTCAACGTCAAAGTCCAGAAACATTTCATTTTCGTTCGTTTTCTCATTGAGACTGGTTGTTCATTACTTGCAAATTGTATTTTCGTTTTGTTGGTTCCGTTCGGCAATCGCAGCCCGCAAGCCTCGTTTCAAAGAGAGGAACAAAACATCGATATCCCGAATTCGACGCCGCGAGCGCTCATCGCTAGATTTCTTCGTGTGAGAAACGTGGTTTGTTGGAAGCAGCCGGAGAAGGTAGACGTTGCTCTGTAACTTGTGTAAATTCAGCGAAGAAAAAATTGTTGAGCGAAGGAAAACCAGCAACGGTTTGATACACAACTTATAAACGCGATACGATGGAAGATCAAAGCAACGCAGCTCTCGCTGCCGCCGCGGAGAATGGTGCAAACACCGCGCAGGAGGTATCGTCGACAAGTAAGTCCCCCGTCCCGTCTCGCACCGCTCCATCGGGTGAGAATGAATAGAACGAAAAAAAAAATTGCATATACCTTGCGTGAGTGTGAGAATGTTATCATAAATATTTTGCGCCGCGTTTCGCCAGCCTTTGTATTTTGTGCATTTGTGCTGTTCATATTTTAAAAAAGGGATCAAGGGCACAACACAGCTGGTTCCTCGCTTTCCCCATTGCATACGGCCATTTTACGAAGTGCGAAGGCAGAAAGATGTCAAAATTCCGCCATATTTATTTCTAGTGGACTCTAGCTGTAAATAAGAGTTGTCAAAACGCCGAAACTGAAAAGCCACAAAGGCATTGCAAAATGGGAATAGGAACCAGTGTGTATATGTGCACACATGTCTACATGCCCGCTTTTTCTTGTCGGTCGGCGATCCATGGTTGTGTTGTTGACATTAATTACGTCATCTTTGCGCGCATTCTTCTTACAATTACCATTGCGCCCGCAAATAGTACGATATGAATCATTTTCGGCTGCTCTTGGCCGATTTCGAGTGATTCTGTGCTCGAGCAAATGCTATTTCATTTCTTCTTGCACGCCTCTCCTCGACCGCCCATTTTCCACAATTGCACACAAGCACACGGCGCTGCTCACATGCATACATATTAATTGAGAAATTCGCGTTTTGATGCGCTCATCGCTCAGAAATGTTTGTGCGTACATGTGTATGCGTGCCGGAGCGTTGCCAACTTATTGGTCATGCGTCAATATCGATATTTGGAATCTTCAATGCGAGTTCTTTTCTTTCTTGTACCCGCTAACGCAAGTGGAGCTTTCAAATTTACACCTGCCGTACGTTGTATATTACAATTTTACTTTTTTTACAAGCAAAGTTAGGTGTGTTCCAGAATTCGCACAGGTGGCAACTCTGACTACTGTTTCCTATGCAGATTTTTGTTATTGATGACAGGGGCCGGTGTTTGTTGGTGTTTGCTTTGGCTCATTTCACATCTGATTGCTGGGCGTAAAAACCGGTTTATCAGCCGTGGTATCACCTTTAGTCCAGCACAAAACTGGCGTGATAACACGCGTTCGTTACAGACGATAAGAGCTAATGCTGAGTTTGTGCCATTCAGCACATTCAATTCACACTCCTCAAGAACAAATGTACATGTACAGTCAAACTTCCAAAAAGTCGAACCAAAAAAGTTACAGCGTACTGTTCATTAAACCAATTTCACTTAACTTTTGGTTTTCAATTTCGAGAAATGTTCTCGTTTTGAGATTCAACCACTTTTCTACTTAGTATTAAATGGTTTTGAACAAAATAGTTACATCATTCTTAAGATTAAAAAGGGTAAGATAAAGTTAATTTAAATACAAGTTTCCAAAGGCGATGTAAGTTTAACAACCCAACAAATTTTCACTCTACTCTGAGAAACCCCACCTGAAAGAATTCCAACCGAATTTGTAAAGACTCAGTTGGGAGAGATTTATTAATTTGAGATATTTGAATTAGAATAGTTTGAGTTGTATGCACGAGCAAGCTCCCAAAAATTAGATATCTAGTTACAATATTATTGAACATTTTCCTTGCAGCTCAGCCCATTGAGCCCACAAAGCGCTCGTTGCGCGTGCAAACCTGGAAAAAAATTCAGGAGGGCAAGGTTGGCGTTGGATTCAACAACATATTCAACCGGATTCCTGCGTTCGTGGATGCCGATAAGGCTGCTGCATTGCTAATCAACGAGGAGGAGTTCAAGAAAGCACGTAAGGGACTTGCACAGTCGTGTTTTTGTCCACCATTTATCGTTCTCTTTGTCTTGCAGAGCACATTAAGGTAAACATCGATCGCGCCTTGCACGAATTCAAGGAACAGGCGTTGCTGGCCGACAAGTCTGTTTACTTGCCCAGCACCCGGGACTCTTCAGCGCTGTGCCTCAAGGTAGATGTGCCAGCCGATGCCACCGAGGAGCAGAAGAAGGAGGCACTGCGCGTCCAGGACATTCAGAAGTTCCGCACGGAAATCGGACTAGACAGCGGTCTGAAGCTTGACATTGTGGTGATTGGTTCCGTTGTAGTGTCACGCGATGGCTATCGCATTGGACGCGGAAATGGGTTTGCCGATCTGGACATCGGCCTCCTCATTGAACTGGGAGCTATCACACCGCAAACAGTTATTGTCACGATCGTGCACGACGTGCAGGTAGTGGACTCGCTGCCTCTGAATCTGTTTCAGAAGTATGACACGCCAGTGGACATCATTGTGACACCAACAGAAGTGATCCGCGTGGCAAAGCGCTTGCCCCGCCCCAATGGCGTTTTCTGGGAGATTCTGTCCGAGCGTCGCCTGAAGATATTGCCTGTGCTGCAGCAGCTTAAGGAGCGGGAGGAGAAGGCGGGAAAATCGTTATCCCTGAAGGAGGAGGATACCGACGTGGAGCAGCATCAAAATAACAGACGCCGCCGTGGGCCCGTGCGTCGTCGCTTCCAACGAGGAAACCCAGGACGCACCACCTCTCAGACTGACAACGAACAGCAGGGCGTGAGTAAAATTCGCTCAAACCGGGCACTTTTGAGAAATTTTCAATCCCTATTATGCAGGAGACTACGCAAAAACGCACACCGCGCCGCAAAGGTCGTTTCGTCAATCGCCGCAGACGCACAACCAAGGTTTGTGACCCAAGCCCGAGCGGAAGCTGTTCTTAATATAATGTTCTTTGCAGTCTGAAGGTGATCAGTCTGGAGTAGAGGGAGGTGCTAAAAGTGAGGATCGTAAGTTCGAAGAGGCTGGCACTGGTGAGCGTCGTCCCAAGAAGAACAAGAATCGCGGTCCTCGTGATTTCTGCATTAAATTGACCAATTTGACGCGTGACATTCGTGTCAAGGACTTGAAAACTGAGCTGCGCAAACGTGAATGCAATCCGGTTTCGATTACTTGGAAGGGTATGTGACTTAAACTTGGTTTAATAGTATTCAGCTTACTAGTCATTTTGGTTAGGTCATTTTGGAAAGTGTTACCTGCACTTCGGAAACCGAAACGGCGCACCCAGCACCCAGGATGACGTGGACAAGGTTTTGAAGTCCCTCAATGATCTCTCGCTTACCATCACAGCTGGTGGCGAGAATGCCTCAGCTGCCCCAGCAGCCGCTGAGGGCGATGCCGCCGTGAAAATTGAGCCAGCTGAGTCTGCGGCGCCTGTCCAGACCAAGACTATAAACGTCAACGTCGAGCTGATCAAGTTTGCCGTCAAGAAGAGTGCCAGCTCCACTGGTGCCAACGCCAGTGCAGGCGAGGACGGAAATGCTGCCGGCGGTGCGCAAAATGGAGCAGAGACCGCGACTGTGGATGGCGGCGACGTGGGTGCACGCATCGAGTCCGTCGACACCACCACAGTATAGTATGACTTCGCGCTTGGCGCAGCCACTGAACGGTCGCGGCGGACTTCCGCCGGCAGCGCAACGTTTGGAGTTCAACGAAAAAAAGTAACATTTTGTTTAGAAAAAATCGAAAAATATCAAACAAAACATGAATAGAAGCGAACTCCGGACACAAACACAAATTACACTCAACTACACACTCACGAAATACATAGACAGTTACACATGCATACACTGAAGATCATGTTTTGCAGCTTGTAGTTTCTTCTTCTCCTTCATTATTCTAACAAACAAGAAGAGCAAACGCAACTTTTTCTAACGAGAACACAAACCATTGACGCTTTTTCAAAACAATTGCATTTGTTTTTGCCTAAGAAAAACAATACGAAAACTCGTTGATCATTAGATGGTTTTCAACTTAATTGAAACGATTGCAGAAATACTCGTTCCACAAATGCAGAGTGGAACAAAGTTTCTTCCAAACAATTCTTTACTAACTTTTTGCGACTTATTACAGATTTGAGTTAGGGACACTTCTAAATATTTCTCA